CAAAAATGGAGTGAAGAAAGGAATTATGATCAGTAAGGATATGGTTATCTTACATAACGCTCTCTATTCTGTTTGAATTGAGCTTGGGAGGCAGTGATAAGGACGAGCTGCAACCAATTCATAGTGAGAAGAGAGCTATGAACTGTGATCATGTCTTATTTCAAGTTAGAAGGTAGTTTCAGTATAAGGATTATTTAATTTGACAAGTTGTTTCGTCCATGATTCTTGGTAGTTTCAGTGCCATTCTAGCCATTGTTTAGTCTGTAATTTTTGAGAATTGATGTGCGAGTAATGACTTTCACTTAGCTTCAACTATTATGTGTGTATTTATTGGCATGTGATAGAAATCTCTTTTCCTTTTCTTTGAATTCAGTTTCATACTCTAATTGTATCATTTGTACATAGGCAAATCATGCTCGAGATGACAACTCGCTGATAAGGCTGGTGCAAGGAACAAAGCCATCATTAGAATTCAGACCGACAACGGGGAGGGATGCCCAGGACTAATTCAATGATGATTGATGATGGTATAATAAAAACTGCAGTCTGCATCAACACCAATTTCTAGGCCTAAGTAAAGTTATTCAACCCAGAACTCTGCTTAGCGCTAAAAATTTCCCTCACCCAACCTTGATCCTGTTTGACCCACTTCTGAAGAGTCAAGATATATGAATATGACTAATCCTCTCCGTTCGTATTTTCTTATTGACTCTTTCTGACCCTTTAGGTTGGGGCGGGTTGGGAAGAATCGGATTAGTGGGTCGGTCCTAATCAAGTGGAATCTCAATCCCTTCACTCTCACTTGCTTTCTCTCCTATTCCACAAGTGGGTAACATACAGTAATCCGGCCAACGGGCCGGGTAATAGGCTAGTTGTTACAAGAGAGGCCTATCATAGGCAACAAAATTAAGTCCTTATGGATATCTGAAAAACTCATAAAAATAATTAAGACTTAAGACGAACAAAAAATCTCAGATGTGGCCACCAAAAAGAAAATGTAGAAATGACGGGTTTCAACAAATATAACTTATATGTGCTTCTAGATTGAGGTAAGATAGATTATCTAAAAGTCAATGAATTCCGAACCAACCACCTTAAGTTCGGTTAAATGCATCATGTATCACTTAAGCATTGTTTTTGTTGCATGTTGATCATTTGCATTTTTTTTGTTGTAACTAAACCATATAAGTTTATTTTTTGTTGCACTGTTACATTTTTGTCTAACTTAACTACACGTACTAAATTGCAAGTTTCTGTATTAAGCCGACAATACAACTCAATACAATGGTTGAGTCGCCCACTCCACCGACCCAAATTCCAAAATTCAAACTCTCCTCCTCTGTCGCTCTTCTTCTTTCTCCATCATCACTTGGCCGATAACTCTTAATAACCCATTAATACACAACACAAGCAATTAAGAAAGCAGATAGCGGTCATTACAATTGTGGTGACGGGACGAGAGTAGAAATCTGGCGATGAAAGAGACCGTTTTGGGAGGGTGAGGAGTAGATTATTCCACGAAGGAGTTATTTTGGCTGTGGTAGTGGTGGTTGTACTAAAGCTGTGACAAAGATGAAGGGGATGACGTCGCATTCCCACTTGTAGCTCGAAAAGACAACTTGAGGAAATCCCATACTTTGTTGGAGTCGACAGTTGGCGACTTGTTCTCAACCACAACCATAGACTGCGACGGGGGAGGAGGTCGTTAGTGCATGAACTCGGGTTGGGTTATTTTCTGCCGGTGCGAGAATGGCCAGGGGTAAGTAGGTCTAATCCAACTACTGGGTGAAAAGTCAGGCAAGAGGAAACGGCGAAAGGGACAATAAAGACAACTTTTTTCTTGTGGGAAAAACTATGCAGCCCATAGCTGCTACCCATTATTGGTCTTTCTCTTCCCCTTTTCTTTTAATTATTAAATGTGGTCGGAGAGGAGTGACGGAGTCGTCAAACTCACGACACGGTAGCAGAATTCTTCTTTTCGTTCATATAGAATTTTTTTTCAAGATTTATAAATTTCCCAGACATCAACTAACTTGACTTCCCATCCCATCTCACTCTATTAAACATCCTTGCCTTACGTTCCGTCCTTCCTTTTTAAGGTTCAAAAATTGGTATATACTGAATATGGTATCGAATTTATCAATATTTGGTATGATTAAATATACGTATTATATTATAGGATCGAGATTGAGATTCGATTTCGAGTGTTATTCGGTATTAGAGATTATAGGATTGAGATTGGTATTATACCAAAATATAAACATTCTGATACATCATACATTCCTATTAAATGTTGAAACTAAGTCAATACAAATAATGCATTGAAACATAAAGAACATGGAATAAACTCATTAACACTTACTTCTACTCAATGCAGTCAGAATCGAGTTTTAAAACTTAAAAGCTTACGGTTTTACGCTTCTAGGTCACCAAAGCGCTTCTGTTTCAACATAAAATCTTTATTGTATAAAATTAGACTAAATTGTGCTTTAAAGCTTAAAAGCTTACGTTTTTATGCCTCTAGTTCAACAAAATGCTTTACGCTTTTACGCTCCTAGTTAACTAAAAGAGTTTTTTTTCATGAAATTAATTGTAAAAAGTATATTTTAAAGGTAAATCACCAATAATATGATACATTTGAGATTAAAAGATACATATCAAGTACCGTGATGCATTCTCAGCTTCAATAGAGTAATCTAGTTCACTAGCTAGGCCCTTCCCCAATTCATTAGTTGATTCGGGCCCAAATTTACACATTTTACCCCTTATTTCTTATTCGTTATGCTTAGTAGATCATCATTCCTCGACCTATTTTACGCTAGGTTGTGCTTGTTTTGTTATATTTCAGGTCCTAGCACGTGTGGGAAGGTCCGGAACGAGTTTCGGGTCATACAGAGGTCAAAACGAGCCAAAAAGTGGAGGCTGAGCCCTGTTCAAGGGCTGGAGCTTCAGTTCACGGTCCTAAGACCATGAACTAAAAGCCCAAACCGTGAAGTGACCAATTTCCAGCACGTTTCTACAGGTTACTGGCTTCAAGTCAGTTCACGGTCTCTAAGATCGTGAACTGAAGCCCCAAACCGTGTAGTCGTCAGTTCACTGTCTCGAAGACTGTGAACTGAGGTCTAAGACCGTGAACTGGGCCCTGTTGGGAAAATATAAAGACAGCAGCGGGGAGAGAGAAAGGAGAGCTGGTTTTTGGAGAGGGATTTGATTCTCTCTCTAGGGTTTCAACCCAAAACACCTAAGGGGAGTTCTAGTGAGAGAGAGAGAGAGAGAGAGAGTGCTTAAGTGATCTTGGAGCTTAATTGGAGGCTTGGGTTGATCTTGAAGACAAGGATTCAAGCCTAGAAGAAGAAGATCTTGGGCTCCAATTTGTAATTTCTCTCTTCTCTCTCTAGAACTTCACCCTCTTCTCTTGGTTTAAGAACCCTAGGTCTAGATTTGGGTTTAATGTTGATGTATGTGACACATTACATATTTGATTGATGATTTTACTTTATCGATGGATGTTTTCATGAATGATATGAGTTGGGTTTCCATTTTCATGTATTGAGCTTTTGACCTATGAGGGAGAAAATCCCCTTAGAGCCAATTATTGGCGTCTTCGGATCACTCCTCACCCTATATCGCTCAGGTAATTACTGAGGGAGTCGATTCTATCAATCTACTGCAATATAGGGTTGCCGTAGGTTGAATAGAGCCCACCACATTCATCGATTCGCCATTCTGGGTCATTCACGTGGGAGTCCATCTCCTAACGGTAGAGTAAGTGAGTCAATCAAGCTTTTGACCTAGGATGGAAAGAACTCCTCACCCCATATCATTAGAGTAATCCCCGAGAGAGTCGATTAGATTGATCTCCTATGATATAGGGGTGCCCTGGGTTGAATAGAGCTCCTACCCATCCATCCCTTCACCGTTCCGGGTCCGTCCCAGGGGAGTTCATCTCCTAATGGTAGGATAGTGGGTCGATCGAGCTAGGATGGTACTCAAAATCGATCATATGACAAAGCTACAAGACTTCAAACCAAGGGAGCTCCTTACCTTGTAAATAGCTAGGATTAGTGGTTAGTCTAGGTTAGTTAGTTTAGTTGTATTAATCACTATCCTAGGTTGGCTAGATAACGAACCCTAAACCTGAAGTAGGGTAAGCCTAGATCCCCGTGGTACGATAAATTCTTATTGCTTGCTTGCGTTATGCTACACTCGGACGGGGGTTATACTTGGCCGTCGATCGGGATGTTGTAGTTAGAACGAGTCATTAGCATAGAGGGGAAGGTGGCTTATTGTTAAAATCTATATTAATAACTTATTGTTAAAATGCTACGTGTTGTTCTACTTTAGATATGAATTACAGGTATTTATTAACTTATCTAAATCATATGCACTCATATTTTACATAGTATATGTCATACTTAATAGATTTTTAGCTATTTTACAGTATGCGCAAAAAACTTACGATTTTAATCTTTGATTCTATGCTTTATGATTTTACCCCCTTTTCCGCTTTTAGGTAGAACCACGCTTTTAACTGCATTGCTTCTACTTGAGAACCTTGTGGAAGAACAACTAAGTCTAAACAAATAATGTATTGAAACATAAAAGAGATGGAACAAACTCAATAACACTTACTTCTACTTGAGAAACTTGTGGAAGAACAACTTATTTACTGTTGTGGATCATCAAAAGGAGAGTTCATTATTGTTTCATGTAAAATTAGTTAAGATGAAATAATATTAACATTTTTTTATTTTGTAACTAGGAGGGGGAGTTTAAATTTCTCGATTTGAGTCACTTAAGTATTGCTCTGTCTCCGTAGGACCACTAAAACAAAAGACAAACAAACAAGTGAGTACACTTCCTTCGGATGGCATAACTCAAGTGTAGGCGCGGAGATGAAAGATGATCTTCGAAGATGACTCTGAGGAGGACTTTCCTCCGTTCGAGCCTGGTAGGCAGGCCATGCGGCGTACCCACCTGACTCGAAGTGACCCACAGTAATGAATAACAAAACGAAGGCGGAGTTATCTCCCCATTCTGCTCGCCTCTTAGCTGGTAGAGCTGGGCGTCAGCACCAGAGGTCGAAGTCACCAGCCAGTGACACGATGAGCAGGAGAAAGCTGAACCACCGTCATACAAGCAGGATAGGGAAGGCTCCGACTGTGGCCGAAGAATCAGATCACGAGGGTTGGGATGAAGTTTTTCATGAGGAATCAGAAGACATCCTTTCCTCTCCATCGCAAAATGTGATTGGACCCCACCTGACAGACAGGGTATGGAAGACTCGGAGGCTACAGTTTCTGAGGGTGAAGATCTCCACTTTGAGCTGAAAAGTCGAGTTCCTGCTGCTAGTATAGGCATTGGTCGTCAAATACATTCTGGGTGGGTTCGATAGGTTGTTAAGGCTTTTAAATCCGGCATGGTGATCAACAAAGCTTACGAGGGAAATTGGACTCTCCTGGGTTCGAATCGCAAAGCTTTTGCCCATGCCGAGGAGCTGCACGGTGATGAAAGAGAATTATTTTCAAGTTAAATGAATATGGGTCAAACATCTCAGACTCAGGAGCTGGAGGAAGAAAGTATCTACTGCAAGATGTCAGATGTGGATGGGGACGTCGGAGAGACTCCGACATCTAAGAAGCAATTTGTGGAAGAAAAGACTGAAGAAGAAAAGGTGGATGAAGCTAGACTAGAGTGGCCCCAACTCGATAAATGAGGCTTATGGCCTGGAATGTGAGAGGAATTGGACAATCTCTCACATTCCAAACTGCTGTAGGTTTAGTTCATTCCAACAAACTGGACCTTGATTTCTTTTCAGAAACAAGATCGCGCTGGAGTGTAGTTTCCCATAGAATGCAGGGGTTAGGTTTTGTTTCTTCTCATTGTTTCTTTGAAGATGCGGTCAATGCAACTGATGCTTCGGTGTTTTTTTTTCGTTCCAACTTCTCTATCTGCATCAGAATTAATGAAGTGGATTTTTCTTATGTTGTGATTTGTGTCTATATTAGTTGTGATGTGACAATAAGAGCTAGTCAATTGGCTCAACTTTGAGAAATTTTTGAAGAAATCCAGTTACCATATGTGGTAACAGGTGATTTCAATGTGACGTTGCACGAGACTGAAAAAGATGGAGGAATCCTTGGAATGCAGACCACTCCTTGGACCCCCGTAATTTTATTCATGACCTTGGTCTCCATGATCCTGGATACCCAGACAATCAATTCACCTAGACAAATAAATGTATGGGATCTGCTTATATCCTCGAAAGGCTAGATCTAGCCATGTGCTCTCAAGATTGGATTGATCGTTATCCGGACACTCTAGTTTAACATTTCACGAACCAGGGATCTGATCGTCGAGCTCTGCTCCTTTCTGATAAGCCCTATGTCCGGAATTGTGGACCTCTCTTCCGATTTGATGCTCGTTGGGCTGATAATCCGGAGGTCAAAGCTATGGTGACGTATGTCTGGAAACAAGAAATTTAGGGTACTCCTACGTACCGCATTTGGGATAAACTTAAGAAACTCTGCCACTTGCTTTATGATTGGAGCAGGACAGGTACTACAAATTCCCTTTTGAACATTAAAACCCTCCAAGCAGAAATTGATTGTATCAAACTAGTCCACCCCATTAATTGGGATGAGGTTAGGGTTTTGGAGGTTGAATTAAATATACAATGGGATGCGGAGGAGATTTATTGGCAACAAAAGTCCAGGGTTCGTTGCCTCAAAAAGGAGGATAAGAATACATCGTATTTCCATACGGTAACTAGAGGCTGACGTATGAGGAATTTTTTTATGGATTGCAAAATGATACCAAGGAATGGATAAAAGAGCAGAGAGGAAAGACAGACATTGCCACAGATTTTTATCAGACTCTCTTTACCTCAGAGAACCAGGTGATTAACATGGTCGAGCGAGTGGCAGAATTGCCCATAGCTCATCGAGTTACAGCAGAAATGAATGGCAATCTTATGGCTGAAGTCCTTTCTTGTGAAGTTAGGAAAACAGTGTTCTTCATGGGATCAAAATAGGATCCGGGGTCTAATGGCTTCATGGGAAACTTTTTAAAAGCTTTCTGGGATATTGTCGACAATTATGTGATTGAAGCTATATGCTCGTTCTTTACTACGCAGGATGCTCCGTAGCTTTAATCATCCCTAGCTGACACTTGTTGGGAGAAAAAGCTCGTCATTAGCAAGAGTTTGATAAAGCCCGTGATCATTATCATTAAACCTAACGATCTAGTTGAGTTTGCAGGGAAGTAGAGTTTACCTTTTCTCCAGATTTAGTAAAGCTACAATAACAAGGAAACTCTATAGCAAAGGACCGAAGGTTTGAGGTGAATCTTATAAGAAGGGAAAGAGAAGGCATTATACAATATTGGCCCCATCTCAAGAACATGAATGGAGCCAGCTTGACATTTGAATCGACTGTCATAGCACCAAGTTTCAACCTTGACATCTTTAGATTTGGGATCAAATCAAGGTTAGTCAAGAAAACCAGATTTTGCCTCTAAGAAACTAGAGATTAGCGCTCAAGTTCAGACACAACGGTCAAGAAGGTTGAAATAGAAAGCCATCTAGAAGTTACCCAATCTAAAGAACCCAGAATTGCACAAATAAGGAAACATAAGATTGTAGCTGAATCATCAACGATTGATAGAGATATTATATATATTGATAGCATGAGGCAAGACATAAAATCTTTTCCGGGAATATCAAAACAAGAGAGCTAAGGGTAATTGCTAGTATTTGATAGGAAAAAAGAGGTTTCAAGCTATCAGGGAGAAAGCTTGGGTCATGCTGTTGAAAAATACTAGTTTCTTGATCGATGGGGAATTGATCAAGCGGATTGGAGTTGATCGATTGGCTGGGGAGCGAATCGGGTGTTCATCTATTGGAAAATACCATGTAAAAACTTCATGTCCTGGATCATTCATTTTTACTTCTCACTCTGATTGGTTTTCTGTGCACAATTTCTTGTTTGCTTTCATTTTTTGTGTTTTGCCTGCAAGGACAGACATTCTGATCAAAGAAAAAGTGCTAGCGGTAGGGATTGAAACGCTGAGTTTTGATTCAGCATTCTAACTAATAAGTTTGTTTTATTGGGCCTTTGTTTTATTCAGCATTCTAACTAATTCGTTAGGCTGTACAACTTTTAAGTGTTTTAAATCATTGGGCTTTAGTGTGATGGGAATTTCTCGAGGCCCACTAATTGGTTTCCTTTGTCAACCAGGAGTAAGCAAAGTAGATTGTCTTCCCTTCGATCAAACTTCCCTTTTCACCGGCACTTCTCACTTGTTCTTGCCGAGAGGTTTCATCTGGTTATTTTCAGGTTGTGAGTTTATCCAAGATCACAAGAAACCTCTATGGTTATTTTCAGGTTGTGAGTTGATCAAAGATCACTAGATTTATTAGAAAAAGCAGGAATTGTCTAGCGCTTGACGCACCAACCTGTGGTATCAGAGTTCGGCTCCGGCAAAGAAGGTCTAACAGCCTCCGGAGAATATGATTTCGGGATCGACAAGTGGAACTGGAATCTTCTTGGCCGATGGATTCTCACAAACTCGTCCGCCCAGCTTTGAAGGCGTTCTCTATGGATACTGGCAAAATCGAATGGAATTGTTCATCGGATCTACAGATCCTGATTTATGGAACATAGTGATGGATGGACCTCTCAAAGTGAAAGAAGCTCGTGAGAAATGGACTAAAGTTGACAAGAGGAATTTCCAGCTTAACTCTAAGGCAACAAACCTGATGTACTTTTCTCTCAGTTCGGAGGAGTATTATCGAGTCTCCGCTTGCAAAGCTGCGAAAGAGATTTGGGATAAATTGCAGACTGCTCACGAAGGTACTTCTCATGTCAAGATCTCTCGTATTAACATGTTCAAGCAAGAGTTCGAACTTTTTACTAAGAAACCAGAAGAATCGATCTAAGATATGAAATAATGATTCACCACCATAGTAATCAGTTTGAGTAATTTGCGTTGAACACGAGAGTGTTGATCTTGTTCGAAAAGTACTATCGGCACTTCCAATGAAGTGGACAACCAAGGTCACTACAATCGAGGAGTCCAAGGATCTAACAACGTGGAAGCTAGATCAGTTGATTGGATCTCTTATTACCCATGAAGAAAAACTCAATGGAGAAGAATTTAAGAAAGAAAAGAAGGGTATAGCTTTCAAGGCACTATTTACGAGGAAGAAAAGGAAGGTCTTGAAGATATGGATGATGATGAACTGGATATGCTTAGCAAGCATGTTGCCAAGCTGCTTAAACTCCGGAAAGAAAAAAGAAGGGAGAATTTCGTCAACAAGTTCCGAGATAGTGAAACAAATTATGATCAAGTAAATGTGAGACATGGTCCAAATTGGCAAGGACAAAGAATGAAAAGAGAAGGAAAAAATGATGGCTTAAACCCAAATACCATATGGTTGTTTTAAGTGTGGCAAGCAAGGGCACCTCAAAGCTGAATGTCCTCAACTAAAAAGAGAAAGAGCAATTGGCTGCAACTTGGAGTTGTAGTGATGAAGATGATGAGGAAAGTGATGGTCTGAGCAAGCATGAAGCATACATGGGTGTAGGAGACAGTGATGATGAAGTCCTTCCACATAAATCCTGCCAAAGAGAGGTAAGAATATCTAGCTATGGCTCTTTAAGTGATTCCGAATAATACAGTGATGATGATCAACTAGTTACAACTATTAGAGATATTCAAATTGAATTTGGAAATGTAAAACGAAAGTATTCCAAGTTGAAAACAAATTATGAGAAATCACTAAGAGAGTGCACTAAGTTAAAAGAAGAGAATAAGACTCTAATAGCAAAACTAAGTGAGTCTGACTCTAAGCTTGAAACAGTAAAGCTTCAAAGTTTGGATAAAATGAACAAGCTTAAATAAGATAATCTAATTCAAGAAGAAAATTGAAAGAATCAGAATATAGGATTAAAGAATTAGAACTCCAAAATAATACTACATCACCTACATGTGTGCATTCCATGTGTCATAAAGAAAAAACTTCGAAGTCCAGAAGCGTGATTAAAACAGAAAGGTTAAAAAGTTCATATCCAAAACTAAATGTTTCTATTGCCACAAAATTGGTCACTTAATTGGAAAGTGTCAAAGAAGGTTGACTAATGAACACAGACTAAAAGGTATTGAATGTTATTCATGTCATGAGTTAGGACACATTAGTAGGTTTTGTGATTTAAAATTGAAGAAAGACAAGAGATCCAAGTTAGTCTGGGTTCGAAAAACGACATGATTGTTAAGTGTGCAGGTTTGTTTCCAAGTGAGCAAGGGAACAAACGAAAGTGCACTTGAAGCGAGTGCTCGTATATATGGGAAAAGGTAAGGAAGGTAAGGTTATTTGTCATGTTGAAATAGTCATAAAAAGATAACATTTTATTCTATGCAACTGTCATATTTATTAGTAAGTCTTATTGTAGCTGGATCGCTAAGTGTGTGGTAAGTCAAAATTGGGTGGGTGAAGCTAGTTGCTAAAGTCAGTAATAGAGATTTTTACAACGAAGAGAAAAGATTTTGTGATTATTTGCGTAGGAGACATAACCTTAGCCAACTAAGTTTTCAGCTTCTTGAAAATTTTGAAGTGCTTTTGTTGATCATTCCTAAATCAGACTCGATTTAACCTTTAATGGAAGAGGCAATTCATAGAAATTTTAAACAACCTAACATCTAAACTTTGCATCCTTAAGTATCCAAGTGATTCTATCGCATGTTGCCTCTTTGGCTTGGAGTATGACTTAGGAAAATAAACTACCAATTACTGATTTAATGGTGGACTCTTAATTGTTTATATGATAAGTGACTGGATGGAAAACTCAATTTTCCTTAAGGATTAGGTATGTTTGGCTAATCTTATCTTATAGGGAAAATTCAATGCGATGGTTTGGATAACCCATTGTGCAGGTCACAAAAGTGATCGGTACAGAGGAAGCTAGAAATTTAGTTTCCACTCTTGACATTCATGAGTGCATTCCATCGAAGATATCGTTGTGAATTAAAATGTTGCATGATTTTGGATAAACTCTTATATGATATTTGATATGACTTAAATTTCGTCCTTGTTTGGTTTAAAGGTTCATGAAAATAATACATTCATCATTTTCCACAGAAGCACCCACACTGTGCTTGCAGTCTTGTATTGAAATGTACATGACCAGCCTCATGACTAAGTTTTCTTGCATTTCACACTGATGCAACTTTAGCTTAAAAGGAGTTATGATATGCTTGTCTACCATTAATGTAAACACCCTAACCCGACCGGGTACTACTTTTACTAAAATTCCCTTGATAAATAAAATACTCAAATCTTAAATTGCAGCGGAAACAAAATTTTTATAAATAAAATAACGAAATCACACACTTGTAATTCAAAGCAATGCTCTAACACATGGGCAAACTCAATACTTAAAATCTCAAAGTGATCTCCAGTCTATACTCATAATCATAAATGTAAATAACTAATAATCTCTAATGTTGTTGCTACTGAAAACCCTGACTAAGCATCCTCCGTGACGCTTATACTGCCCTCCTCTAACTGGTTGCCCTCGAAATCGCTGCTCACTAACTGCTCCTTTAGCTCCTCCTCTAGCTCTTCAAACTGGTGAGTGGGATGGGGTCAGTCTACGCCCTTATGTTTAACATCTTATTAATACTTGATCACTTTACTTAACTTAGTAGAAGTTGCTTTGCACTTCCACTATTAAAAATCTTAACTCTTAAAACTGTACTCGTAAAACTCAAATATCCACTTAAATTCTTGACTGACACGGAGATCCCTCACTAGCTAGTCCGGTTGCCAAATCATACGTATGAGAAGCCATCCAGACTTTCCTTGAACTTAAACTTATCATGGAAGGCTCTTCTTCCACGATTCTCAAGAGCATAACTGCTGCTTATCTTAAAAATCTCAAGAGCATAATTGCTGCTCAACTTAAATATCTCAAGAGCATGACTGTTGTTCTGCCTCAAAGATCTCAAGAGCATAAATGTTGCTCTATTTGAAAATCTCAAATGGCAACGGACTGGCGCTAGTGACTAAAAACACTTAAAACGACTTCACCTTCTTGAAGGTGAGTTACTTTTTAAAAAGAACTTGTTTCTTAAACTTTAACAATAACTTATACTCGTAAAATTTCAAAGTAAATAATAAACATTCACTTCAAGTCATAATTTAAACCAGTCACATATAATCAACCAAACACGTAAACAACCATGTCACCCACTTCACAAAATACTTAAAATGTGTATGGTAAATACTTGAAAATATGTAAGGCGTAGAATTTACCCCTTTATACTCACCTCACTTAATAGTCGAATAATTCGGTGGATCTGAACTCCTTACTCCTCAACGATGCTTGCTCATCTTTGCTTGCATACTCAATAACCTACGTAACATCCTATAACCGATTACTACCAATTTCTACAAAAACCCAACCCCCTAACTCTTCAAGCTGTTAACATATATACGCCCTTGACAGCTCATTACCAATCGCTTCATGCATTAAGCCACTTACTCGTACAGTCGTGCTATCCAATTCTACCAATTCCCAATTCGTCCATGCATTGAAAAAAAAAAAAAACACACACACACGCACAATTGTCTTATATGATCTCCCTAACCAAGCTACTACTTTTCACCCATTGCCATTAGCTCCATGCATAAGAGTCCAAATTAGTACCCGTAGCCATTATGTGCACGTGTTCCACCTATGCCAAGTTTGGAGAATTGATTTTGATAAACCCAGAACAGATTGTGCATGGTGGTTTGGATGGATCAATGGTAAAATGAGACAATTTGACCAATTGTTTTATTTTACAAAACGAGTCATTTAAAATGACTCAATTCAGATTAACTGCCCCCACCCCAGACAATTGTAATTGGCTCAAAATGAGTCAATTCAGAATTCCCCAGCCCAAATTGCTTCATCCAAATTTTCTGCTGCCAAACGGATCAATCTAGCACAATTGACTCAAAACGAGACAATTGTGTCCGATTGATCCATTAGAATTCCTCATCCAAACGACCCCTAAGGGATATAAGTTGGGGAGTTGGGCCCTAAAAAATATCAAAGTTACACTTTTAACCTTTTACCTTCTTTACCTTCCCTTGTGCCAACATACACTACTTAGACTAAGCAAAGAAAAAAAAAACACCATCCAAGGAGAGGGAAGGAGAGAAAGAATCCAGCGTTGTCATTCTGGAGCTGAAATCGTCGGTAGGACGTCTGAATCATGAGTAGCGACTCCAACGAGGTAAACTTTCTTAAAAAAAAAAGGGAACCGCATCTCATTTGCGGTTTCACCATTGGCCAACCGCAGGTCACTTGTGGTTGCACCATGGGCAAACCGCAAGTCATTGGCCAACCGCAGGTCACTTGCGGTTGCACCAACGGTCAACCGCGGCGGGTTTACCATCTTCTCCAGCAATGGTGCGCGGTTTAAAGACAGGAGGCCGGCGACGGGAACAGCGCGCAGACGAGTGAGCAGGTGGGAGAGCGGGAGGCCGGCGACGGGAGCGAGACGGCGGCAACGGCGAGCATCAACGACCGCAGCGGCTTGCGGCGACAACGGGATCGAGCGGGGAAGGGCGCTGGCGGAATGGACTTGGGCGCTGGCGGAATGACTTGGAGGTGGAAGGGTTTGCCGGCGGGAAGGAGTTGCAGAGGGGGAGGGATTTGCCGGCGGTGAAGGAAGGAGTTGCAGAGGGGGGGTTTTGCCGGCGCCGCTAGGAAGAGGGAAGGGATCTCCGTTGGGAAGGAAGGGGTGGGTTTGGAAGGGTTGTTTGGTTGTTGCAATTTTGAAATTTTCTTTAAGGGTATATAGGTAATTTGGCATTTAAGTTAGGGAGACGTTTAGCAATTTTTAGGGCGACATTAAGCGATTCAGATAAGTTGTGGGTGTTAGATGCTCACCTCGACCATTGAACCATTTCTACGTGGCTAGCCTTTCCCACTGCCGAGTAGCAAAGGCCACCGTCACCAATTAATCCCTCTGGTTCAATTAAATCCGCCGCCAACCTATTGTCTCGCATCCTTAGGAGAGCTCTACTTTGTATATTTGCACCGTCTTTTCCCCTTCCCAAAACAACAATGGACTTGGTTCTTGTAATTTCCTCCACGTTATTCGCTCCACGGAGATGATGGGCCTACCTTCAACTACACCATTGATTGTCACGTTACATTAAGAGACAAGCGGTGTCTCCTCTCGTCATCGGATCGTCGCCCACAACGCCCATGGACGACTCCACTGCTCTTCAACCCCTCGATTGATAGCGCTCCCATATCTGGGCCCAAATTGGATGGACGAATAAACAATTCGACTAGTCGACTGGTGGCGAGTGTGGTACCCGGGCTTGGGAAAGGAAATTTTGCCACAGCCGGATTGCAATTTCATTTTTCTTAGCTAGTTGCTCGCTCTTGACCAACCTCTCATTCTGTTTCCCGGAGCTTCATAACTTGGAAGTGGCGGCCGCCCCATTACACATATATTTATACACGTTGCTGATTAGAAGGGTTTAGCTTAGGGTTAATTAATCATAGGGGTACATAGGAATTTTACAATTACGGGTGAGTTTAATCAGAAACTCAGTTAACATCCGTAACTTCCTCATTTTATGTCGAAACTCAACACCGTTTGAACCGAGAATTCACATTTTAGTCCTCATCGATAACACGGTGGAATTTGACTAATATTCTCAAGGGTATAATGGTTAGTTTGCTCCTAAGAAAGGATGGGGTGTAACATAGAGTTTACCTTTTCTGCAGATATAAAGAAGCTATAATAACAAGGAAACTGTACAGCAAAGGACATAAGGTTTGAGGTGAATCTTATAAGAAGGGAAAGAGAAGCAGTATACAATATTGGCTCCAGCTCAAACATGAATGGAGCCAGCTTGACTTTTGAATCGACTATCATAGCACCAAGTTTCAACCTTGACAAATTTGGATTTGGGATGAAATCAAGTGCAGTCAAGAAGACTGGCATTCGCCTCTAAGCAACTAGAGGACTGGCGCTCAAGTTCAGACACACAACAGTCAAGAATGTTGAAATAGAAAGCCAACCAGAATATACCCAATCTAAAGAACCCAAGATCGCACAAATAAGGAAACAGAAGATTGTACTTGAATCATCAACGACTGATAGAGATAGTATATATATTGATAGCTTGAGGCAAGACAGAGCATCTTTTTCTGGAAATATCAAAACAAGAGAGCTAAGGGTAACTGCTAGTGTTTGATAGGAAAAAAAGAGGTTTCAAGGTGTCGGGGAGAAATCTTGGGTCACGGTGTTGGAAAATATCGGGTTCTTGATCGACGGGGAGTTTATTAAGGGGATTCGAGTTGATCGATTGGATGGGGAGCTAATCGGGTGTTCATCTGTATTCATACAGCTTCAATGACATATCTATTTAGTGAAACGTCAAAGATCGCTGTTTGTGAGTCTTTAACCGTGGAATAGTCAATATCACATTCAGCAATACTGGAAACCACGTAAAAACTTCGTGTCCTGGATTGTCCGTTTTTACTTCTCATTGTGATTAGTTTTTTGTGCACAATTTCTTGTTTGCTCTGTTTTTCTGGGTTTTTCCTGCAGGGACGGACAGTCTTATAAAAGAAGAAGTCCTTGCGGTAGGGATTGAAACGCTGAGTTTTGATTCAGCAGTCTAACTAATAAGTTTGTTTTATTGGGCTTCTGTTGAAATAGAAAGCCAACCAGAAGTTACCCAATCTAAAGAATCCAAGATCGCACAACTAAGGAAACAGAAGATTGTAGTTGGATCATCAACGACTGGTAGAGATAGTATATATATATTGATAGCTTGATGCAAGACATAACATCTTTTCCTGGAATATTAGAACAAGAGAGCTAAGGGTAATTGCTAGTGTTTGATAGGAAAAAGAGGTTTCAAGCTATCGGGGAGAAAGCTTGGGTTACTGGTTGGAAAATATCGGGTTCTTGATCGACGAGGAGTTGATCAAGGGGACTGGAGTTGATCGATTGGCTGGGGAGCTAATTGGGTGTTCATCTGTATTCATAGAGCTTCAACGACATATATATTTAGTGAAACTTCAAAGATCGCGGTTTGCGAGTATTTGACCGTGGAAAGTCAATATCGCATTCAGCAATACAGGAAACCACGTAAAAACTCCGTGTCCTGGATCAGTCGTTTTTACTTCTCGCTGTGATTGGTTTTCTGTGCATAATTTCTTGTTTGCTCTGTTTTTCTGGGTTTTGCCTGCAGGGACTGACAGTCTGATCAAAGAAGTGCTAGCGATAGGGATTGAAACGCTGAGTTTTGATTCAACAGTCTAACTAATAAGTTTGTTTTATTGGGCCTTTTTTTTATTTCATTCTTCATTGACCAAATCTAATTCATTGGGTTGTACTAATTTTAAGTGTTTTAAATCATTGGGCTTGAGTGTGGTGGGAATTTTCTGAGGCCCACTAATTGCTTTCCTTTGGTAAAAACGAGTAAGCAAAGGAGATTGTCTTTCCTTCGATCAAAATTCCCTTTTCATAGACACTTCTCACATGTTCTTGCCGAGAGGTTTCGTCTGGTTATTTTCAGGTTGTGATTTGATCAAAGATCACAGTTTTGAATAGAAAAGGCAGGGATTCATTTCTTGCTCGACGCACCAACAACCCTAATCCCTAAGGTAGACAATGTGGAGACTATGAGGCAAATCAGACCAATTAGCCTATGCCAATTTGTTTATAAGGTTATAACGAAAATCATGGCTAAAAGGCTGGCCTGTCTCTTACCACAAATCATCTTAGAGGGTCAAAACGCATTCGTCCGTGAAAGGTAGATAGTTGAGAACGTTCTCCTAAGTCATTAGTTAATACATTACTTGAAAATTAAAACACGAGGTAAGAAAGGGTACATGACTCTAAAGGTTGACATGGAAAAGGCCTATGATAGTCGAATGATCATTTCTCCTTGCTGTTTTGGACAATATGAGTTTTAACTCTACCTAGAGAGGCTGGATACAGGAATGCCTCCGTTCAACGACGTTTTTGGTCCTAATGAATGGCACTCCTTCAGGATTCTTCATTCCCTCAAGGGGACTCCGATAGGGGGATCCCTATCTCTGCTCCTATTTGGGATTTGCACGAGGGATTTGCAGTGCTACTTCGGAAAGCCATTTATGATGAGAAACTTGAAGGGGTTAAAGTTGCCCCTAGATCTCCCCGGATCTCGCATCTTTTTTTTTTTTTTTGCAGATGATTCTTATTTATTCCTCAGAGGATCTCTACAAGAATGTGAGAATTTGATCGAGGTCTTAAATGAAGACGAGGACGTGAGTGGCCAAAGGTTAACTTGGCAAAATCAGTAGTTTGTTTTAGTAAAAATATATCGCGGTTAGACAAAGATTTCTTGGCCTAGATTCTGGGTGTAGGGGATGTGGGAGTCCAAGATAAATATATGGGGTTTCCTACATTGATAGCCCAATCTAAAATGGCTATATTCCGGTATTTGGAGGAGAAATTGTTGGATCAACTTTAGGGGTGGAAACAACTGACATTGTCTTGGACAGCAAAGCAGACTTTGATCAAATCAGTCGCTTTAGCTCTACCACTGCATGTCATGTGTCTGAGTAAGCACGATGGGGGTATGGGGTTCCACCGTTTCAAACATTTTAATCAAGCGCTTTTAACCAAAATTGGATGGTGTATCCTCAACGAGCCCCATTCCTTCTTAGCACAGGTTTACAAAGGAAAATAATTTCAAACTAGGACTTTTCTCACTGCTACTGCTTGTTCTCGACCGTCTTGGGGATGTCAGAGTATTCTTTATGGTCGGCAGTTGTTGGTAATGGGAATATGAAGGCAGATTGGCAATGGTTAGACAGCTAGTCTAATTCATTCCAATTGGGGGAGGGGACCTGCTAGTGGCGGATATCATTTGCCAAGGGGACGGGCGCTAGTGTTACTTGAAACTTAGCAAATGGTTTCACCACAACCACCACCACCAAGACTAGAATAACGTTGTCATGACTTCTCCTCAGTCCTCACCCTTCCAATATGGTGTCTTCCGCCGCCAGATCGTTGCTCTCGTCCCGACACCGCATTTATAATGGTCGCTATATGCTTTTCTTAATTGCTTGTGTTGGGTATTTATGGATTTTTACTTTTTAGACATTATCGGCCAAGTGACGACATGAGAAGAAAAGCTGCAGAGAGTTTGAATTTCGAATTTTGGGTCCACCGTCCTTGGTTGGATAGTAGAGTGGGCTGATTCAACTATTGTACTGAGTTCTATGATCAGCTTAATACAAAAAAATTAAAAAAATTATGAAGTAGTACCTACTGTTAAGTGTCCAGACAGAATATATAACAATGCATCAAAAAATAGACTTATATGATTTAATTACAACCAAAAGAATCTTACATTATCAAATTGCAACTAAAGCAGACACATTGAAGCATTTAATCCATGTTCTGAACATACGAACAATATTTTAGGGAGTGCGAGTGTGCGACTCATATTCCAAAATTAGTTTTTCTTTCCGGTGTTAATTTGTTGGTAAATAATTATTATTGATAAAAAACCAATCAATAAAAAAGTTTGCGAAAATATTATTTATGAAGAAAAAAATGAAAGATGAAAATTTAAGGGAAATTTAAGGCTAGAAAATAGTGAGAGGCAGGCTCGAAGAAATTAGGGTTATAACGACATTCATATTTCCTTTCACTAGTTTGCCAAAGATCTAACATTTGCGGGTTTTATTTAGGAGGAATCCGTTTAAACACTAAATCCCCAATTTGGGGCAAAAAGCAACCAAGTACAATCCCATAAAAACACTTCCAATGGCAGAAGGATCAGATTCATTTATTTCTAAAGCTTTCTCGGGTTAACTAAACCTCCCCACTCGACTAGCTAAAAGGTATAATCTTCAAAGACCAACGAAATGACTACTTATTCCTCCTCCGCCTCGCTGCAAAATCTTCCATCCCCACCCGTCCAGAAGCCGCGGTGCTCACCCCAGCTCAAGCTGATGGTGATTCCAGACTCCTCACAAACTTCTTAGCCTATCGGAAGCAAAACAAACATGAGTTAGTGAGACCTGAAGAATTTGTCCAGTGGGAAAGCGAATATATTAATCTGATGAAATTTGTTACCTGTTCTAAAGTCAGGAACATGATCACATTCCAAGATCCTAGACGGCCGAAATTTGGGATGAAGCCTTTGTAGAAAGCAAGAGGCCCCTGTGTTGTGTACATATGAGAATCGGAATTCAGTACCAAATATTATTACTAGGGGCTGTAATATATTTTAAGCAAGTCAATGCATATCTTGGTTCTATATTTTGGGATAAGGGGCAATGTGCCACTGTGAAGTTGTGGACAAACTATTCCAAGACATTAGCAGCTAGAGCACAATATATGCACGTGTAGAAGAGAATCTTTCGTGAGTGAAAAGATGTATCTTACATCATTCTTCAATGTCTTGACGAAACAATCAATTGTGCTTTTGTAAGTTGGATCCCCCATCATTCTAGACTTAACCTGACAATCGAAAAGTAGGAATGTCAACCAAATACTGTATGTTAAGAACATCTTTATACATGAGGAAATAAAACACTCTACTATAAACTCGGCAGAGTGTTCTTGGTGAATGTAAATGTAGACAGCATACCACGTCAACTGGAGAACCAATACAGACAGCGAAGAAACCTGCTCCCAGACCAGCAAACAGATGAGTGACAGCGTTGTCTTTAAATCCAGGAATTTTCAATATTGTCTGCAATCACGGGAGTTGAGTTAGAGACCACAAGATTCTTTGATGCATCAGAATGTGTGAAACACAACAAATGATTCCATATTCACCTCCTTCACTTGATCATAACTGGCTAGTTCAGCAGCGTTTATAATAGCATTTCGTGCAATGTTTGGCCCAACACCAGTCCAAAGGGCAGCAAATCCTTCCTGGGTGTGGATAAAAACAAGTCAGATAATATCATCCATTTATCACAGAACTGAAGATTGATGATATTTCACAAGTCTTTGAAGCATTATTAAGCAAACAATCATTCAAGTTTCAGTTTCCTATTTTCATAAACACGAATTGGATGCAGAACCTGTCTGGCTATGGTAGAATAAGCACTTAGTGCTCCTGAATAGCGTCTTGGCACACCGGGTGGTAATTTTCCCTCGGACTGGAGCCGAACCTTCACAAGATCAGTCGGATTGGCAATTGCAATTCCCACAGCACCTGAGTAAGGAACAATAGTGAGGACCAGTTGATTAACATCTAAAAAACTGAAGCAATTATGAATTCCCAAGAGACCCTCCTAAGCTCAAAATTCCATGAAACCTTACTGATCAAACAACAATGTGACAAGATGCCAGAGTTCCATCACAGAAAGAAACAGATTATACTTGATGAAGCATAGGTAGGGGACCATACCAGTTGTAAGTGCAGCCAGAATTTTCTTTGACAAAGGAACGTCTCCGACAAAGTTCGGTCCGACATAGAAGTCCCTTACCTGTCAAATGATGGATTCACATCAGCTATGAAATGGAACATAAAAAAGGGTAACAAAGTAATTAATCCAAGGATATGGATAGACAATATACAGGCTCATATAAGCCAATCCTTAAGCCACCAAACAGACACTGGCGGTGGAGTCCAGGTATAATGCCTCTCCAAAGCGATGCCGCGCCTTCTTCCTTAGCAATGGTAGCAACAGTGCCCAACATGCCATTGTATTTGGGCGCAGTCAATACATCTCCACTAATAGCTGACTTCTGGAGCTGAAGCCTGACTTTAGCTGTGTCCAAGGGGATTGTACAAATCTACATTGGAACAAGAAGATTATAATTATCGCAAAATCAAAGGCACATCAACATCCCATTCCTTGAACAAATAATTGAAGGATTAGAGCACACAATTCCAATGGATGGTCATTCAGTAAACAAATATAAGAACCGGCATTTGATCTTTGGCAGGTAAGAAGGGAGTCAACTATTGATTGACGAGCCTCTCTATGGATCTCAAGTCTACTATTGGCTCGCAGGCCACACATCCGAAACTCAATTCACTGCCATAACCTAACTTCTCCTGTCGATTGAATCATGGAAACTGACAACTCCTCAAGCCTTCAGCTAAGGTAGACGATCCCATATCTAGGGATCGGGTTGTACACATTGAGCAGCTAAATTTTGGGAGATAAATGTTGCAAACATCAACAAGGGGAAGAAAGGTTACGGAAATTCCAATTAGCGGAATTGTCGTCAAGAGGATCCGCGTATACACAAACCAATAGGGTCAGAGCATTTGTTCGGAATTCTCATGATTAGCCGATCAACACCGGGAAGTTATAGAATTCCGGGGAAAGCGATCGCGCCGAGAAATAGGTGACAGAAGAGCGGAGCATAATTTAGAACGAGAAAAGGAAAAGGGGGAAAATGTAGGGAGTAGGGAAGGAGACCTCGGCAAAGCAAGCCGCAAAGGCACTGCTGGCGAAAGTGCCGGCGAAGGAGATATCGGACTTAGCCTTGCTGTCGGCCACCATCTCTGCCGGCTGAGGCTGCGGAGGAAAGAGAGGGGAGCGGAGACGGGACGGGGGAATTTTGGGTGAGGGTCTGAGGCAGAGCAGAAGGAAGAAGAGAAAGGTGACTAAATAGTGGGGAGAGGAGGGCGGCGAATCTCGGGAAATGGAAATGGGGGCAACAAATTGGGAAGGCTAACCGTGCTCCATTATTTTCTTCCTATATTTCTCTTTTTTATTTTTATTTTTATTTTTTTGTTGGGCTCCGTCATCTCTCATTAGTCATTAGACATTACACTCTCTCTCTCGCACTCTCGTTCGTATCGTCAGCCAGCACAGGCCACAGGCCCACTAATCGGTTAGGGGCAAATTGGGGAATCAGGTTCATTCATTTTGGTTTTTTCCGGCATCAATGCTTGTCTAAAGTTTGGGTAATGAGTCGACACCCCACTCGTCTGGTGATTTGCTGACCAGGATTAGGAGCAATGTATTTACGTCGTCAGGTGTGTGCTACTGTGCTCTGTGTGATCCTTTTTTAAGTTTATCGACTCCATAAATTCTAGCGCGAACGAACCTTTGAGTTTATCCAATTTTGTCCAATTAGACAACTGTGCTAATAGGATAGGCGTAACAGTAAGCTAATAATTTTTTATACATAGAAAAGGATTATGTCTTTGAATCATGATGTTTTATATGTCAATGTCTATTTTTGTAAATACTAGTGTGTATATACGACTAAAAGACTCTCATCTCAACTCAGTTTGATATATGCTTTCTATTCCAATTAGATTGTGGCCAGGCCAACTAGTGGGGTAGTTTTTTTATTGTAAATTCTTCAAAAGTAAAAGTGGTAGTCAATCTAGTGTTGAGCTATTGATGTAAAAGTCGTTTTGTCACGTAATGGGCAACTCTGTTAGTATCTATAAGAACATAAATCAACGAATAAACGCAAAGGAAGTCTTCTTTCGACAAACTTCTTGAAGCACCAATCCGCCAAGTACAAACTCCACATCTCATATAAGCCGAGTTCCAATAGGCTAGTAATAGATCTGATGTGCAAGCTACCTCCAATAAAACACACACTCGGCCCAAAAGGATAAAACAAAATTTAGACACCACCGTACCTCCACCAGAGAATGCTCCGCAAGCTATACAACTACTCCGTCTGGAACAAAAAAAACAAATATGCCAAAACCAAGTAGTTGAGAAATTACACTCCATGCCCAAGGACATGTAATTGCTCACTATCATTAAGAGACGCTGAACACAAAAACAATGCAACACTCCCAAACAAAATATCAAACACAAGTGGAAACATTATAATAATTATTTATATATAATTATTATATATATATATATATATAATTAAGTAAGAAGTAAAAGTCTTAGCTGAATGCAGTTAGGATCCACGTTTAGAATTACGACTGCTTATCCGTCATAATTGTAACCACCCTGGAATTGAAACCGTCCGAAGCATTCTGCTTCCAGAATTAAAGGCTCCGGAATTGTAATTGCCACCGCAAGAGGGAATGTTTGGGAATCACAGTTGCTACATACTGGTCTGCCAAATTGTCGCCACATGGAAAGATGCAGTTTGGAACCAGGCAAACTCACACGAACAAAAACCACCGAAACCACATGGAAGAAGTATGGGTGGGCAATTGGTTCGGTAACTCGAATCAAGTCAACCCAAAACCGAGATAATACTATTCGGTTTGAAATTCAGAAGGGAAATATGGATATTTCAGAAACCAGGGTTCTTTCTCCACACCTCTTTGTTGAAGTCACAAAGAATGAATATGTGATCTACTGTTTCGTCATCCCTGCAACAAAGCTCGCATCTGTTGTCGAGTTGGAGTCCTCTTTTTTTAAGATTGTCGATAGTGAGAATCCTGTTTAGTGAGGTTAACCAGGGGAAGCTGCAGATTTTGGTGGGGATGATCTTCCGCCAAACCGACTCTGCAGGGAAGTCCATGATTCCAGGGAATTGGTCCATCGTAGTAGCCCTGTACATGGAATGAACCGAGAAAGATTGTTCTACATTAGGGAGCCAGATTGGCCTACAAGGCTCGTTACTGATTCTGAAGCAAGCATTAGAGGAAAGTAAATTCATCAAAGAAGTTCGTTCCCTCCCCCCCCCCCCCCCTCTCAACTCGAATTTAAGAGGAATAAACCACCTTACTTCCTCACCAAGACGGCTGCTGTTGTCGGATATCCAAGCAGCTGGAGCAGAAGCGGCAGCAGCAACTCGAGGATAAGAGTCGGCGAGGGTGGCTTCCGGGATCCAGTGATCATGCCAAAAAGAAGTCCAAGCACCGTTACCCGGCTTGATACAAGCAAATTTCCAGAAGATATCATGTTCTTTCGTGATGTTAGCCCATGTTGATCCAGCAAAACCATTGGCAATCTTGCCTGTGTGCCATGTGGATTGGTTGTTGGGATACTTGATGTTGATAAGCCTTCTCCACCAACTGCTTCTCTCAGTGGCGAAGCGCCACAACCATTTTCCTAGCATTGCTGCGTTGAAGCACTTCAAATCGGTAATGCCCAAACCGCCATGAGATTTAGGGGCTTTGCAGAGGTTCCAGCTGATGAGTGGGAGTTTGTGCTCGTCCCCAGTCCCTTACCAGATGAAATTACGCTGGATTGACTCCATCCGTTTGATGACAGAACATGGAGCCTTTAGGAGGGAGAAGAAGTAGACTGCTTGGCTTGAGAGAACAGCCTGGTTCAGTATGAGTCTTCCGCCTAGAGACAGGAAGCGGCTTTTCTATCCGTTGAGACGTGACTGGTAGTTGTCGATGATTCGGTCCCAGGCTGTAGCAGCATTAACCTTCGACCCGAGAGGGAACCCGAGGTATCTTGATGGTACGTTGCTCCACTTACATCCGAACAGGGTGGCAAAGTAATCTGGATTAGGAACACCCCCTATGGTAAACATGATAGACTTTTCAAGATTTACCCAGAGGCCCGTAAAAGTTTGGGAAACAAACAAGTGAGCCGAGGATGTTCAGGACTTGCTCGTATGATGCCTCGCAGAATATTAGAGGGCCATATGCAATTAGTGTTTTATGACTATATGTGTTGAAATGTTTGATTTTATCATTGATGATGCATATAATTACATATTTATTGTTTACAATAGGGGTGAAAAATAATTTAAAAATGAGAAGATACAAGTAGCCTCACAAATTCGGTTTTGGATGAATTTACAAACCGAACCGAATTATAATTCGATTTAGACCGACTTAACCAAATTATAATTAGATTCGGATTTGGTTCGAGGTTTGGTGGAATTCGGAGACCCGGTAGGCATAATTTTAGTTTGGTCGAAACCGAACCGACCGAATGCCCACCCCTACCTGTAAGGAGGAAACGTGAAGTGGCCAAGTCACAAAATGCAGATGTCCAAGACACACACATCGTGCGAGAGCACCACAGGTGGTGATGGTGTACAGGAAGGGGAAGGGGAACGATCTTCTTTATGGCCACTTACGAGGGACTCCTTCCACAACAACCTCTTCATCCAAATAACCAACTATTACGGTCATATCCAGCATTGTACCCGTCATCGTCGCTCCTCAACCTTATTTCATTCAAGATGAGTCATCGTATTTGCAAGAAGGGGAGGAGCTGGGATGGAGAGATCCGCAAGGGTGGAAGTATGGAACTCGTAACCACGCTGAGGGTTACGCTGTTGAAGCTTGAGCTTGGGAGGCAGCAAAGATGGCTAACTTGGGTCCCAACCCATGTTCTCAATTCACAACGGTTGACTAGAGGGGAAATTTCCAGAAATAGCACCTTTAAAAAAATTACAAAAATAACACCCATTACGTAGAAATTACAAAAATATCACCTTTTTTTTTAAAATCGCACCTTTGGTGCGTTTTGCATGTAAACCGCACCCCCATGGTGCGTTTTGTATTTAAAACTCACCCCAAGGTGCGTTTTAGCTTTCTGGGCCAAAACCGCATCTTGGCCATGCGGTTTGCGGTCTGACCTAACCAAACCGCATGGCCCAAATGCGGTCTAGTCTTGACTTAGCAAAACCGCACTTTGGGGATTCGATTTTGCTTCTCCAAAACAAACTGCACCCTCAAAGTGCGGTTTTGGCAACACAAACCGCACCCCCCCCCCCCCAAATGCGGTTTGTGTGTCAATTATTTTCCGACACCAGACATGCAGCCATGTAGATTGACATACGTGGGGTTGCATGGCAGATGAAAACCGCACCTCTAAGGTGCGGTTTTCATTGATGATTTTGCCTATAAATGCCAGCCCGGAAAATCTCTTCTCTTCACACCTCTCCTTCTCCCTTTTCAATTTTCTGTTGTAACTCCCTATTTCTCTAGTGTTTTTGCGGTTAACGTTAACTCGTAAGTTTTTTTTGTATTACTTTTTATTGTAAATTGTAATTTTTGATTTTTATGATATTAGTTGAACTACTGTTTTTTGCAGATGGCATTCCTAAAGTTCACGCTTGGGTTACGGTGGAATGGTTACACGGAAGAGAGCAGAAAGGGGGTCACCTACGTCGATGGCAATTTTTAGAAAATAAAGGTCGCCACCAGACCGATGCTTGAAGACCTCAATCAAATGTGTACTAACGTTACTTGCATGGATGGCACGAGAAGAGTTGATCGTATGGTGTACCGATATCCAAACAGAGAAGGCGGGTTGTTGTGGCACGAGGAATATCTCATAACCACTTAGGATGAGGTAGATTCTGTGCTCGAATTCTTGAGGTCCAACAATCTTTCCAGAGTCGAGATGTTCGTTTACACCGAGCCGGTCATAGGCGTTGGAGGTCATTCTGGAGACGGTCAAACATCTAGTATCCATGGTGGAAGTGAATTATATGGAGATCATCCCTACCAAAGTTACCATGATCCTCATTCCTATTTTCAGTACCAAGAGCAAGGTGAAGGTCATCATCAATCTTACCCATCATATGAAGAAGAAGTTCAACCGGACCATGCCAACCAACCCCAGTACAACTTCCAATCAGGCAGTGGTAGTTTTCACAACTACCATTATGGAGCTGATGAAGGTGCCTTTCATGAGTTGGATCAGATGGAAGATGCCCTGCCAGCACCAGTCAGTGACCCCTCTGATGAAGAAGGAGAGAACAACGTCAGTGCAGACAGCTCCAACCCTCTTGATGGTGCTGATGATTCAGGACCAGAGTCTGACTTAGATAATGATGATGAGGTGGCTCATGACCGTGTACCAGTCCCCTACTACAATCACATTCCAGATGGCAATTGGATGGTCGACAGCGACATGGAACCCCCGGCGGTTCCAATATGGGGTCCACTCACTGGGTTTATGAAGGGAAAACAATTTGGCTCGGAGAAGGAGGTGCGATACGCCATTGATACTGAAGCAATGACTCGGCATTTTCAATGGCACACAACTCATTCCAACACGAAAAGGCTCATAGTCAGATGCCGTAATCATAACGAGGGATGCAATGTTAGGATTCGAGCCATCAACAGCAAGAGACACGACTTTTGGGTCATATCCCGTGCGGTGAACACACACACATGTGTGTCATCCATAACATCCCAAGGCCATCGACAGTTGAAATGCAGGGTGGTTGCTGCAGCTATCAAGCATCTAATTGAGCAAGATCCTGACCTGAAGGTGAAAGTCATAATCGCTAACATTGCAAGTCGTTATGGTTATATGATTAACTATAAGAAGGCGTGACATGGAAAGCAGAAAGCTCTGGCCGCCGTATTTGGTGATTGGGAAGAATCATATGCATTCCTTCCCTGGTTGATTTTGGCACTGGAGGCGTCTAACCCTGACACTGTTTTCTCCCCTCGATACCAAGATGAAGAGGTACAACCGCCAGAGCCAGGTAACAAACGCCATTTCAGACGACTTTTTTGGGCATTCAAGCCATCTATTGATGGTTTTGGCTTCTGTGTCCCTGTGATCCAAGTGGATGGTACATTCCTTACCGGCAAGTACAAGGGCACTCTACTGATTGCCAGTGGGGCGGATGAAAACAAACAAGTATTTCTGTTAGCCTTCGCCATTGTTGAGGGAGAGAATACTGATAGCTATGGATGGTTTTTTCGGCAAATTCAGCTCCACGTCACTAGGAGGACGAACCTGACAATAATATCTGATCGGCATGCCGGGATTAGAGCTGCCATATTAGGTTTAGATCCAACCTGGAAGTGGTCCCAAAGGTGGTGCATACGACACTTCAAGAGCAACTGGAAGTCCGGAACCATCATTTCAAGAGGAAGAAGCTTGTTGATAATTTGTGGTGGATTGGTAAGCTCTCTATTGGTTGTTTAATTTTGTCTGATAACAATATCTTATATCAAATAAATGGTACACTTGTTAGACTCTTTCTAAAGAGATGCATGCCTAAGGAAATGGGCTTTTAAGCGATTATCATGATCCTCCCATTTCCTGGGAAAATCGGGTTTTAAGCGATCCTCATATCCCCCATTTCTTGTCAACCAGGTTGTGTTTCTAAGGAGATGTAAACCTCTCCAAAGAGTCTAACGAGAGTACCTGTTGGTTGTTCGAATTGTAATAAATTGCCGAATTATTACTAACGTAATACTTGATTGTGATTACCTCAGCTGTTGCATACCAAGAGAAAAAATTCAAGGAGAAGTTCCAGAAGATGCGCGAATTATGCCCTGAAGGGGCATAGTGGCTGGATGGACACGACCTATCCATGTGGACATTTCATAAAGACGGAGGTACAAGATGGGGTATGCCCACAACGAACTCATTAGAGAGTATCAATTCTGCCTAGAAGGGTGTTCGGGCGCTGCCAATCGCTGCCATTGTGGAGATGACTTTCTGGAAAACGAATGGATGGTTCGTCAATCGACTACACTGCGCAAGGACGAACGAGGCACAGGGAAAGGTCCATGCCAATAAAGTCACAGAAATATTGGAGCATGACAATCAGAAGAGTAGTCGACACAGTGTAACTGTTATGAATCGGGCAACTGGCGAGTTTAGCGTGAAGACCGGACACCATGAGGATGGTAGACGCGGGGGCCATCGCCATGAAGTTTTGGTAAATTTCAGGACAAAACTTGGTGAGAGCTCATGCCAGAAGTATCAGGGGAGAGGGTGGCGATCTTCTCATGTAATGGCTGTAATTAAAAACAGGAGCAAAGACCCCCATCACTTCGTCAGTCCATTCTTCAATATCGACTCACTCAAAAATTGCTATGGACGGAGTTTCCGTGCATTTCCTGATGAAGCTTATTGGCCGGTGTACTCAGGAAAGTTGATAATCCCGCCGTTCAGACAGAGGCGTGAACCGGGTCGACCGAGGAAAAATAGAATTCATAAAGAAATGGATCAAAGTGGAAGACCACCACGAGGCCCAAGACGATGTTCTGTATGCAGAGTTCCAGGGCCTGATAAACAAAGTTGTCCAGGTTCAATTGGTCCGCAAAATCCGGGTCCTGATGTGGGGGACTCAGCTAATGCGATGTAGTTTGCGGTTTTCATTTGTTGGTACTTGTTATGTATGTTTCAATTATTGTCGGAGTTAGAGCTGACGCTTGGAACTTTCGTGTTTGGAAAATAACCCTGAATTAACACTCAAGCCTTAAGTTAACATGATCAAAATAGAGAAAGCCAAGTACTTAGAACTAAAATAAAAACTAAAACAACACTCAATTAAAGAAACTAAAATAGGAGGGAAGGGTTTCAAGTACATATAATTAAAACATAACTAAACACAAAACTCAAAATGATAAAACTAAAAATCCATCTCAAGGAAGTCCATGGGACTCATGGGGCTGAAAGGTTTTCTTGCTCCTTGTACGACGGCCGACGGGAGTGACCATCGGTGGTTGCGGTGGCAAGCTTCGTCGGTGCTGTGTTGGCTTTGATCCGTGGTATGCGGTGCTTCCAGGGTCGAGCAGGGGACTTCGACGCTCATACGGTGAGGGGTAGGAGGCCATGGCTGATGAGGGCGAGGAATAGGATTGAAGTCGTGATGCGCATTCGTGGAGGAACCATCATGCCAAGTACCCGAGGAAGTGGGGGGTTCGTTGAAGAAGTTTAGGCGGGGATCATAGTATGGTGGGCGAGGATCATAGTATGGTGGGCAGGGATCGTGGTATGAGATCGGGTGGGGATCATATGGGGATTGATGGTAGCTCGGAGGGTGGTAGATATTACCAAGGAGGTAGATATTAGCTAGGCAAGCGGAAGCCCAGCTCAACTCCCCCATCGCATCACAACTACCAAGGAGGATCCTAAGCCATCCACAGCTAATTAAATTGCTTGATTTTTTGGAGAAGAAGACTCATCCTGTCATGCCTATGAGATAGACACGAGCATATATTTCCTTCTCTAGCTCCGGACTTTCCTCGGTTAGGGGCACCCCATTTTTTCAGGATCGTGAAGATCCCTAAAATACTTCGTCAACCAAGTGATTGATACTTGGCCTTTCCTTAATGGTGGCAAGCGATCCGTCGCATCAACGCTCCCCTTGGTTGGTACTTTCACCCCCAAAACACTGTGGATGAAACACTGCCAACCGGTCATACTGTCACGATCCTCGGGGGGATGGTCACTCACACACATTGATTTGCCGTCGATGGGCAGATGAGTTAGGATGGCGACGTCCTTGAGTGTGATGGTGCACTCTCCTTCCCGAAAGTTGAAACAATGTGTCTCCTTTCTCCATCTCTCCATCAATGCGATAATGAGTTGGCGATCGACTTTTATGCCTACAAAATGCCCAATCGACTCCAACCGTGCCCTTTTGAGAAAGGGCAAGATAACTGGGTTCCATGGGAGCACATTGGTCGGACCCCTGTACCTGAGTATTTGTTGTGCCTCCTAGCAAAAATTCCAACGTTATTTATGATATATTAGTAATAGTTTAGTCTTATAACTAAATTAATTAAAATTAATGATTTAATTTCGACCATTATTAAAATTATTTATGATATATTAGTAACATTTTAGTCTTATAACTAAATTAATTAAATTAATGATTTAATTACGACCATAATTCTATTATAATTATATTATTAACAATCAAATTTATGTAATTTGCGGTTTTTTCCAAGATATATACATATTATCATAAAACAAACATACTAAATTAATTGACATAATTAACATTCTAAATGAATAATAATTTAAAGAGATACATACATATTCAAACATTTGAAATTAATAAAATTCATTTAAGTACACATAAACATAAATCGTATTGGTTGTTGGGTAAGTAATTTAATCGTATTGGTTGTTTTAAATAATTTAATCGTATTGGTTGTTTTAAATAATTTAATCGAATACAATGCAACACTCGTTAGACTCTTAGAAGAGGTATACATCTTCTTAGAAACGCAGCCTTTTTGACAGAAAAATGGGGGATCCGAGGATCTCTTAATACCCGATTTTCCCAGGAAATGGGAGGATCATGATAATCGCTTAAAACCTCATTTCCTTAGACGTGCATCTCTTTATAAAGATTCAAAGTAAGTGGCGCTATGTATTCGATTAAATTATTGAAAGCAACGAATACGATTAAATTATTTCAAATTTATTTTATATTCCACTAAGTACATTCGCAAAATAAAAGAAAGATAAATGATGAATAATTGTATGTACCGGGTGATCGCTCCAAACATCCCTTGAACGATGGTTGGGTTGGTCGTACAAGTCGGTTGGATCAACAGGCCCTTGATCCAAATAGTACCGTTGGTTGTATATATTCACGTCGTCCCCAACCTACGAGAGAATAACAGCAAGGTTAGTACATAGATTAAATAAAGAGCTTATAACAAAAACATAAATTGACCAAAATAATGAGTACGTACTGCTTGAAATTCATCATAATAAACTCCCTCTCCTTGGAACCACTCGTCCATTTTTTCGCGAAAGTCGGACAGAAATTCGGCGGGTTTTGAGTGAAAATCAAAGAAATGTTTTCTGATGGCAGATCGGACTTAGCTGCAACCAACAAACAACTATTTCCTAGACTTTTGGGAGGGGAAGGGTTAGAGAGATAATTTTAGAGAGAGAGTGAAGAATGAGTTGTGGTGTGAAGAAATGAGAGGGGAGAGGGTGTATTTATAGTATTCAAACAGCACCCTTCAGGGGCAGTCTGGTAATTTCTCCCACCTTGAAACCGCTCCCTTCCGATGCTGTCTGCTCTTCTCGAGGCGCTGACCGCTCCCTGCCGCTACGGTCTGCGATCCATGGCGCGAATCGCTGAGGTGGCAAGCGGGCCACCGCTGGATCGCTGCTGAATCCTGCGGTCTCCAAGCCCGCTCCCGAGGAAACACAGACCGCACCTTGGAGGTGCGGTTCTCAGTCTAACGTGGCGCAAAACGCACCTGGAGGGTGCAGTTTAGTTATAAAACGCACCTTGGAGGTGCGGTTTGATAAAAATGGTGCTAGTTTTGTAATTTCTACGGAATGGGTGCTATTTTTGTAATTTTATTAATAGGTGCTATTATTGAAAAAATCCTTGACCAGAGTTGGTAACGATCAAATCACTGCGCAACATATGTGTTGAGGAGTTCCATCAATGATGTGATCCCGTTCACCCCATATGACATTACTTGAGCTCAAATTATATCTCTATATGGACCATGGGTCAAGAGACAATTTAAGAGGTTTAAAGAGAGTTTGAGAGCATTAAAGGTGGAAGAAAAGGGCTCTACAAGCAAGGCTTACGAGTTTGTTGATGCCAAATCGATTGGCTTGTTATATAACTCGGGAGGAGTTACAGTGCTAATTCTATAAGAGTTAGCACCGTTCTAACCAAGGAGTCATAGAGGGCTTTATTGGTATTTAGTAAAATTAAATTTAATAAATAAATTAAATTTTAGTTATCTCTCTCCTCCTTTTCAAAAAACTTTAACGTGAAAAAATACTAGGGAAAAAACTACTGCTAGTTTGAATTAGTAGTGATTTAGCTTAGATGTTGTATTGATTTTTTAATAATCTGTAGTGATTTTGTTGTTTTTAATAGCGTTTTTTAAACAGAAGAAGTTGATGATATTTGGAAAGAATAATACTATAAATGAAAAAAAGTACTACAAAGAACAAATATTACTACTAATATACAAAACACTGCTAATACTTTACAAATATCAGTGCTCAACTATTGATTACAATAACAATAACTACTAATACATATGAAAAACAATACACCACAGTCACTACTAACCCAAAATCACTACTAACCACTACTAATACCAATCACAAGCACTACCGAAAAAACACTACTGATACAAATAATAGTGTTATCTCAAAACCCAGTGGCTTGTATGCATCTCTATTTTTCCTAGACGCCCTCAACTATGCAAACCCTAGAGGATCTGAATTGCCGCTCTTCCCAATGAACGATTCCACGGCCACCATCGTCGGTCCTGTCTCCACCGTTTCCAAACTTTCGATAGCGGATTTGGAAGACGACATTCACATCTCGGTTGTGGGGATTTGATGCATGCCCCGGAAGAATGGCTAGATGGACAAAATCTTTGACGTCAGGACTCGCGTGACGAACTCGAATTTCACCCTGAGTACCTCCAATCTCCACAACGCGTTACCTACCAAGCTGAAGTATGGATAGTGGCGCTTGAGCGAAATCGCCCGACGACCGGCATCTTTGACGAGAATATTGTAGCTGGACAAATCTGATAGAGAAAGGAAAGGCATAGAGGCGATTTATTTTGAGGATAGAGAGAGAGCGAGAATGGGGAGTGGGAGCGGCCATGAGGGTGTAGAGGAGTGGGTAGAAATCTTTTTATATTAGGGTTTAAAGTTATATTATTATAATATCCTTTAATTAGTTTTGAACGTCAGATAATTATGTTAATTTAATAGATGTAAGTGCAGTTAGTAAGGTGCTAACCCTCTAAAGGGTTAGCAACGCATCCCATCCCTATATAACTCTCGTGGTCCATGAAGGTCAGAGTACGACGATACAAGGATCAAATGTGATCATTCCTAATAGACGTGGATTTGCATAAAGGAAAGCCTATCACATTCTTACATGATGTGGAGTAGAATCAAGAGAAGATGCGCTTAGAAGAAGAAAGAATGGATTCGACCTAGAAGGATGGATTCTCCCCATGGTGTGAACACAAGGTATTAAATGAATACAAGTGTGAAAGGAACTTCAAGTCTGAACACAAGGGGGGGGGGGGGGGATTTGAAGGCTATATTATAGGGTTGAACGACTCAAACTTGTTTCATTTTCATTTAATGATTTGCTTTACTTGTTAGTTAAGGATTTTAGCTTTCTTTTTTAGTTTAGGATTGGAATTTCATTGTCTATATAAGTAGGACGAGTTTTATGTATTTTTTTATCAAGTTTTAGTAATCAAATTTGAGTTTTTCAAAGTTCATTTGTGAATGTGTCTGCTTAAATTCTTCTTTGAGGATTCGGGAGGTTTGAGTGTCTCTGATCAACTAGAAGATCACATCTAGTTTTGGCAAGTTCGACGATATTTGTTAGCCTTATCCACGGGTTCGAGATTGTTTGATTGATTTCATATACCAATTAGCCCTTATAATGAGTTCGGATCTGTTTGATCGATTTCCACATGTATCTTTGAGTTTTGTGTTATTCAAGAAAGGAGAAAACCCCAAAAGAGTTTGCCATTGTGTTATTCTGATTCTTTGGTCCGAATTTGGGAGGATTCTCAAATTAGGGTCATATTAATATCTGCAAGGAGGGAAGGCACTGGGATGGAGAGATCCGCAAGGGTGGAAGTACGAAACCCGTAACCACGCCGAGATTGGGCTGTTGAAGCTCGAGCTTGGGAGGCAGCAAAGATGGCTAATGTGGGTCACAAACCATGTTCTCAATTCCCCATGGTTTACTAGAGTTGGTCACGATCGAATCACTGCGCAACATATGTGCTGCAGGAGTTCCATCAGCATCAACAAATGATGGTGGCAACCCATATCTCGCATCACCAAAGAAACTAGGGCACCGTAGAGTCCGTGAAGGTCCAAGACTTGCAAGCTGGACATAGAAAGCTTTAACGTGGCCAGGGTACTGTACTAGTTGGTTGTAACATCCTTATCCTTTTAACCAAAAATACAAAATAAATGCTCCGGAGCAGGGTAAAATTCCTTCAAAATCAAGGCAAGGAAAACAAAAGAAACTGAACTATTTCCTGTAATTCAAATGTAAAGCCCTAAACAGTCAGGCTACCTTAATCCATAAATCATAAAATACAAACTCCGAATCTCCTGTTTATACTCATAATCATGAACGAAAACAGCTAAGCAAATCCAACTACAACTCCTCACTAGGATCCTTCCTAAGATATCTTCAACGATGGTGCTACTGCTCGTCTCCTCTTGAGCTACTTGTCCTCTACCCCTCTCTCTACCTGGTGAGTGAGAAGAGGTCAGTCTACGTCGATACTGAAACCTCATAGCACTTAAGGTTTCTCTCTTAAGTGTTCACCTAACAAACTAGTGGAAGTTATCTAAACCTACACCCTTTAGCCTTAACACTTAAACACGTGGGGGTTTCTTTATAATTTTCTACCCTCAAAACTCAACATTATAATCAAAGACACTTTAAACATTTGCCTTTTACTTTGTGGGAGTTGTTCTTACTCCTTTCCTTTAACTTTATCATTTTAAAAGAACCGTTGGGAGTTGGCATTACTCTCCACTCTTAACCTCAACAATAGACACTCCTTAACCCATGACTATCGCGTTCGAATCGCCGTATGGTGTCACAACCTACTTGGAGATGGCCCGCATTTCAATTCGTCATCCGATGCCATAACCTCTTAGGCAATGGCCCGCGTTTCTATTTGCCATCCGGTACCAAGCCTGATCAACTACTTCATATCGTATCGCTTTCCAATAGTGATCCAACCATCCGGGGGTTTCCTTTACTTACTAACAATCACTCGTTACATACACCTCACACACACATCACTTTCACCTTCATTAGGCGGTAAAGTGCGTCAAACTCCTGTACTCACCTTCAATAGGCGGTGGGTTACCTCAACATATATCAATAATCCTCATACATTCTCAATTCTCCTAGTTCATGTTGGAGGAAGCTCAGTCAATGGGTCAAACCGATCAAGGAAAGCAGGGCAATGTTCAAGTGTCATTATATGGAAAGAATTCGAAAACAAGGCGACTTACCTTGTCGATCCAAGCTAAAGAAGGGAAGTCTCTAAAAGAGACATTGGAGGATGGGTATAAGATGGAATCAACCAGAAAGCCATCGACAACCTTTTTCAAGCATTCAAAAGCAGAGAGCTGGGATTGTAGCCATAGGCTTTTGTGAGAAAAAGAGAGCATAGAGTTTGCTTGTGAACCAGTCAGGGGTTTGGGAACTAGGAGTTCTGACCAAATATATTGATTGGTTCGGTTAGTATGCTGTAGGCTGGGTGTGAGTGTTGCATAATTGTATTCTAAATTTCACAGAAAAAGATCATTAGTGAAACGTTGAAGATCTCAAATCGAGATACTTCAACCGTTGATTAGTCAACGTAGGGATTCTCATACTCCCTACGTTGGATACAACGTAAAAATTGCCTCGTGTTCTTTACTGTGTTTCGGTATTTTGGACTGATCTTAGTTTGCTTCTGTTAGTATTCAGTTCTGTTGCTTTTCCAAGGTACAACAACTTCGTAGAACAGGAGGAAGAATAAGGGAAACCAGACGCAGTGATTGTTGAATCAAAGGGCCTAAAACGCAGGCCTGGTTTAGTATTGAAAAGTTGGACTTGGTCTGCTGATCTATTAATTGGGCCCAGTTGCGAAATAAACCAACCCGGCCCTCTTCATTCTAACTTTATCTTCTTCCAGACTGCCCTGTTCAAGAACTCAGATTGCTCTTTATAATTTTGTTCAATCAAACCTTCCCAAATTCTCTGATTTAGGGTTTCAGGTGTGAAGCAGATACAAATCACAAGAAGGAGCATCTGGTCTCGCGCTCGACCTCTTACCAACAAGTGATATTTGAGCTCGGTTCCAGGAGCATAAGGCTTAACAACCTCCGGAGAAGATGAGTTCGAGTTCGGCAAACGGAAGTGGAATCTACATGGCTGATGGATTCTCTCAGACGTGCCCTCCGCGATTTGAGGGATTTATTACGGTTACTGGAGAAACAGGATGGAGCTGTTCATCGGATCCACATATCCTGGCTTGTGGGACATCGTGATGGATGGGCCGTTAGAAGTAAAACAGGTTCGAGGAAAATGGAGTGAAGAGGACAAGAAGAATTTTCAGTTGAATCCGAAGGCGACGAATTTGATGTACTGTGCTTTAGGGCCAGAAGAGTACCATAGAGTCTCTGGGTGTAAAACAGCTAAAGAAATTTGGGATAAGCTGCAAGTTGCTCATAAAGGTACTTCTCACGTTAAGATTCCAGAATCAATAGCTTAAAGAAGGATTTCGAGTCATTCATCATGAAGCCAGAAGAATCGATCAAGGAAATGAATGATCGATTCGCAAGAATAGTGAATAGTCTAAGGAATCTTGAGGTGGAATATGCGAGTGCTGATCTTGTGTGAAAGGTTCTTTGGGCACTTCCCAAACGATGGACCCCCAAAGTCACAGCAATCGAGGAATCCAAGGACCTCACTAGGCTCAGTCTGGATGAACTGGTTGGGTCTTTGATAACTCACAAAGAAAAGCTGAAAAGGGAAGAAGCTGATGAGCCTAGAAAGGAGAAACAGAGCATAGCCTTCATGGCCTCAACGTACGAAGAAGAACTAGAGAATCTGTACGACATGGAAGATGATGAATTGTCAATGTTAAGCAAGCATCTTGCCAAGCTGCTAAAAATGAGAAGAGATAGAAGAAAGGGAGGATCACCTAACAAAATTGAAGACAACAGGGATCTAAAAGAGATAAATCGTTTTGGATACAAGAATAGAAGAGATGGAAGCAATGGGGACAGATCTCAAGTGCAACCAGGCTGTTACAAGTGCGGTAAAGTAGGACATGTGAAGGCTGACTGCCCTCTTACCAAGAAGGATTACACTCCAACTTGGAGCGGCAGTGAGGAAGAAGATGATGAAAACCCTCATCATGAAGCTTATATGGCACTTGGTGAAGAGTCTAAAGATGACAAAGCATCTCAGGTACAATCCTATTACTCTGTATCATTTGGCGAAGATGATCAGATGGTAGACACCATAAGAGATATCCAAAATGAATTCAGTATTGTCAAACAGAAACATATTAGGATTCGAGCTGAATATGAAATTCTCTTGTCAAACTATGAAAAAATCAAGTCCGAAAAGAAGAATTTGGAAACAGCCTTGAAAGATACTCTAGGTGAAAATGAAATTCTTAAAAAAAAACTTATCCTAGTTGAAGACAAAGTAAAAAATCTAGAAAAGAGCAAGTCAACAACTAGAATAGTCATAGGAAGAAAGTCTAGCACCCCTTACAAATCGAATCCTAGGAGAATGATAGAATGCTACTATTGTCATCATCTCGGTCACCATATAAGAAACTGCAGGAAACGTATAGCAAAACCTAACTAACAAACTTACAAACCACTCTTCTAAAGCTAGAGAGTCAATGTATAGAAATTACTATGATCAGATGGAATCCAAATTAGTTTGGATACCAAAAATCAAGTAATTAACATTTCTTTTACAGACCTGTCTCCAAGTGAGCATGGAAGGCAGCGTATGGATTCTTGATAGTGGTTGTTCACATCATATGACCGGAGATAAACAACTCTTCACTGAACTTACACTAAGAAAGAAAGGTAATGTGTACTTCGGTGATAATTACAGTACTGAGATTCTAGGAAAAGGAACCATAGGGTCTAATCCATCTTTAAGTAATGTGATGCTAGTAAAGGAACTAAAACATAACTTACTCTCAATAAGTCAAATGTGTGGAAAAGTAAACAGAGTCGTTTTCGAACCTGATAGGTGCTATGTAGAGAATATATTAACTAAGAAAACACTCTTCACTGGAAAACGGAGAGGAAAATTGTTTATAATTGACTTAAATGATGAAAAGGCTTTCAATGAATCATGTCTCATTTCAGTATATAAAAATGACCAATTAGAATGGCATCGCAGGTTAGGCCATATTAGCATAGGAATTCTTTCAAAACTGATTAACTTGGATCTGGTAAGAGGAATCCCTAAAATTCATAGCAAGAAAGAATTCTACTGTGACGCGTGTACAAAAGGAAAACAAACCCGAACCTCATTTAAGACTAAACAAGTTCTGTCAACCAATAGACCCCTTGAACTCCTGCATCTTGACCTCTTTCGACCTAGCAACATTATGAGCTTAGGAGGGAAATATTATGCTTTCGTCATAGTAGATGACTTCTCTCGTTTTACTTGGGTTCTGTTTCTCTCTAAGAAGGATGAGGCATTTTTAAGATTTAAAACTTTTGTCAAACAAGTAGAAAATGAAAAACAGTAAAAAATTATCAATATTCGAAGTGACCACGGAGGTGAATTTGAATCAGATATCTTTGAAGAATTTTGCAACGAGAATGGAATTCTCCATAACTTCTCAGCCCCCAGAACACCTCAACAAAACGGTGTAGTTGAACGGAAGAACAGAACCTTAATTGAAATAGGAAGAACCATGTTGAATGATTATGGAATTCCGAAAAAATTCTGGGCTGAAGCTATCAACACCGCTTGCTATGTGATAAACAGAGCTTTAATACGATAAAAATTGAACAAGACTCCTTATGAACTGTGGAAAAATAGAAAAAACCAAACCTAGGTTACTTTCGCCCTTTTGGTTGCAAATGCTTCATTTTAAATACAAAGGACTCATTGGGAAAATTTGACTCAATATCGGACGAGTCAATCTTCCTAGGATACTCTACCAACAGTAGAGCTTATCGGGTGTATAACAAAAGGACTCTCAAGGTGGAAGAGTCCATCAATGTTGTATTTGATGAATATGTGAGTAAGTTTGCAGAGTTAATAGAAGAAGATGACGACTTTGGACTTGGTAGCAAAAACACCATGACTTCACAGGAGGAGACAAAGTCAATCGAAGGAAGCAAAGAAGTCCATGAACCTGAGGCACCTCTTCATATTCAGAAGATGCATCCTCCTTCTCAGATCATCGGGGATATAGGCCAAGGTATGGTTACTAGATCTAAAGTATGCTCTGAACATACAGCTTTTATATCTCAAACCATTCCTCGAAATATAAATGAAGCCTTAGAAGATGAATTTTGGACAGCAGCTATGCATGAGGAAATGCATCAATTTGAACGAACCAAGGTCTGGGATTTAGTACCAAAACTGAAGATAGAACTATTATTGGAACCAAATGGGTTTACAAAAATAAAACAGACGAGGAAGACATTATAACAAAAAATAAGGCCAGATTAGTAGCTCAAGGATAGAATCAGGAGGAAGGAATTGATTTTGAAGAAACATTTGCTCCTGTAGCTAGACTAGAAGCAATTAGGCTACTTTGTGCTTTTGCAGCATCAAAAGGGTTCAAACTGTTTCAAATGGATGTTAAAAGTGCATTCTTGAATGGAGATCTAAAGGAGGAGGTGTATGTTTTACAACCTCCAGGTTTTGAAAATCCCGAACATCCAGATTATGTATATAAACTTAATCAAGCTCTTTACGGTCTTAAACAAGCTCCTAGAGCTTGGTATGACAAATTAAGTCAATTCTTGATTGATAATGATTTTCACAGAGGTAACGGTGACAAAACCCTTTTCATCAAAAACTCTGGTGGGCATACTCTTTTAGTCCAAGTCTATGTAGATGACATCATTTTTGGTTCTACTTGTCCAAAACTATGCTCTGAATTTGAAAATAACATTAAGGGAGCTTTTGAAATGAGTTTGATGGGGAACTAAACTTCTTTCGTGGTCTCCAAGTCAAACAAACCAACTCTGGAACTTTAATAAATCAAAGCAAGTATCTAAAAACATGTTGAAGCGCTTTAATCTTGGCAATCTTAAGGCCCGTTCGACTCCTATGGGGTCCTCCCTTAAGCTTTCAAAAGATGAGTCAGGAAAAAGCGTAGACAATAAACTCTATAGAGGAATGATAGGGTCACTCTTATACCTGACAGCCAGTAGACCAGACATAATGTACATCGTATGTGTTTTTGAAAGATTTCAAAGCAATCCAAAAGAAAGTCACTTGTATGCAGTTAAAAGGATCTTCCGGTATTCGGCTGGCTCACCTGATTTAGGACTCTGGTTCTCTCAAAGGTCTAGTCTAGAACTTGTCAGTTATATAGACTCTGATTATGCAGGGTGCTCAGTTGATCGTAGGAGCACGTCTGGTGCATGTCATTTCATAGGATCTTCCTTAGTGTCTTGGTCTAGCAAGAAACAAAACTATGTAGCCTTATCAACTGCAGAAGCAGAATATATTGTTGCTGGTTTCTGCTGTACTCAGTCACTTTGGTTAAAATATCAACTCCTAGATTATGGAATTTCCCTAGGCTCCCTCCCTATTCTTTGTGACACAACAAGTGCCATAAAAATGACAAAAAATCATGTTCAGCACTCTCGAACAAAACATAAAAATGACAAAAAAACGTGCTAACTATTCACAATGACTTGCACGAAATGAATTGATCAAGCTTTTTGGCGCCGTTGTCGTGGACCATTAGTAACTATTAGAAATCCATCGAGTTTTTATTTTAGCCTTTATTTTTTTGTTTTTTTTTTGTTGTGTTTTTGTTACTTTAGTAGTTTTTATCGTTTTGTGTTTTTTCATCCAACTTTGTGCATCACGAGTTATTGAGGTTGTGTCTTGTATTACTTTTGTATACGAAGAAGGGACTCTTTGGAGATAGTACCTTTTGATACAAAAATTGAGAGAACCTTTTGGAATCTAAGAAGAGTTGTGAGACATCAATCTCCACTAATGGCGGATCAACAACAACAAACTCATGTTCCACAAAGGCCTGGAACAATGGGATCTCACTCAAGGCCAAGTGTTGATAATGTTCAATCACCTATTCTTCACCCAACAGTGCCAAACAACTACAATGAGATTAAGTCGGGCACAATTTTGATGCTTCAAAGTGTGGTTCAATTCAATGGGAGGATGAGTGAAGATGTTCACGCACATATCAAGTCGTTCTACGAGTTGACGGATGGAATCAAGATAAACGGGATTCCTCAAGAGGCAATTCGTCTAAGGTTATTTTCGTTTACTTTAAATGGAGCGGCAAAGCAATGGTTGAATAAACATCCCCATCATTCCATCATCTCGTGGGATCATCTTTGCAACAAGTTCTTCGCAAGGTACATTCCACCTTCCAAGACGGCTCTAATAAGAAGCGAGATTACTATATATTTCCCTCAAGAGGAGGATGAACCTTTGTTCGAAGCATGGGAAAGGTTTACATATCTCCTACTCAAATTTCCACACCATGGCATCGCCGATTGATTATAAGTGGAAAGCTTCTATAATGGTTGAACAAGGGAGTCATGCCACCTGATCGATGCGGCTAGTGGAGGTGCCATAAGAAACAAGGAAGTCGGTGAACTTCAAAGATTGATTGAAGAAATGGCCTTAAATAGCTACGATTGGGGGCGCGGGGGGGAGGCAAGAGTGTGATGAAGGAAATTTTATTGAAGATTGAAGACCCAACATCGTTAGCGGCTCATATACAAGAACTTTCCAAGAAAATTGATCAAGCTGCATCATCAATAAAAGGCAATGGGAAGCAACTCATGAAATGTGGTTGGTGTGGTGACTCGAATCATACAATGGAGGATTGTAAGTCTATGATTGAGGCCTCAATACAATTTGAGCAAGCCAACTTTGTTGGAGGGAAATCCCGAGGAAACAACCCTTATAGCTCTCCATATAATCCGGGTTGGAGGAACCATCCTAACTTTCTTTGGTCTTCACCAACGGATAGAAATCCTCCACGATTTCAATTTCAAGCGCCTATGCAAAGTGCTTATCTAAGGCCGAGTCAACCTCGTACTAAGAGGCGTATTAAGAACAAAGTCGACCCTCCAATGGTCGAGTCTCTAAACTTAAAGAGTTGGTAGATCAATTTGTTACACACTCCAACAAGAAGTTTGAGGCTATTGACAAATTCATAGAGGATACTATGACCAAATTCTCAAGATTGGAAGCGGGTCAAAGGAATCAACAAGTTTCACTTCAAAATCTTGAAGCCTAACTAAGCTCATTGGCACAAGCTCTATCATAAAGACCACAAGGAACTTTATCGGGCAATACAAACCTAAGCCTAAGGAGGGATGTCATGCGGTAACTCTAAGGAGTGATCGACCTTTGAAGGAGGTTCTTATCTCAACACCAAGGATACCGGTAAGAGAAGTTCAACATGAAGATATTCAAGAAGAAGAGTCAGTTCGGGAAGATGTGCAAACTACTATCGAAATCAAGATTGAAGACGAGGAGACATATAAGAAGACTCAAGCACCCGATCCAACACCAAAAGCTCCTTATCCAAGACGGTTATTTGAAAGTGATATATATATATATCATGAAGGTGCTCCGTGGAAGGATACCTTGAAGAAATTGAAGGTAACGGTCCCCTTTTGAGACATGGTTATGAAGATTCTGAATTATACTAAGTTCTTGAAAGAAATATTGTTGGGAAAGAGGAAAATGGAAGAAGTTACCATGGTATCCATTAGTAAAGTTGCTTCGGCATCCATCGGATATGAAGGCTTCCCTCCAAAATTAAGAGATCCGGGAATTTTCACTATTCCATGCACCTTCGGGATCAAAACCTTTTGGAATACGCTAGCATATTTGGGGTCTAGTATCAATATTATGCCTACAAGAATATACAATGAGTTAGATCTTGGACCACTCATACCTACAAAAATGCGGATTGAGTTGACCAATAGATCCATTGTCGAGCCAAGAGGAGTCATAAAGAATGTCTTGGTGAAGTTTTCCCATTTTGTTTATCCTGTGGACTTTGTGGTTCTCAACACGGAAGGGTGTGATGCATCGATAATCCTAGGATGACCATTCTTAGATACGACAAGGACCATTATCGATGTTACTGGGAGCAAGATCACCCTAAGGTTTGGAGAGGAAGAGATAAGCTACAAGATGACTCCAATCCCCAATTTTCACAAGTATTACAAATGTGATGATGTCAAAATGGATTGTGAGCCGATTACCCCTCCTACCACTCCGCCTTCAAGACCTATGATAGAATGGTTCAATATGGTCTCTCATGTTGACCCTCATGATTGAAGAGTTGAAGGTGTGAGTGATTCTTGCGAGATTATGAAGACATCGGGTAAAGAAAAGTTAAGTTTCTTTACAAAAGGGCTACTCAAGAGTTGTTCAAATTTTCTCATCAAGCCAATGTTCATAAGAGGAAACTTAGAAGATTCATCTTTGAAGAGAGATACCCAAAGGAAAGTGTTCAAAATTTTAAGAGAAAATTAGCTCCTATATTCGAAGATTAATAATCTGGGGAATGCTATAAGCCATTCACGGATGAGGACATTTACACAAGGGAATTTAGTTCTTTCAAACATGACACCAATCTCCGGACATGTCTTTCGAATTTCAAGCACAAGTATTATTTCTATAAAGAATCATCGGTGGATAATGGAGCTCTTACCTGTTGATTTTAAGGAGTCAAGTCCGGCGAAAAGACTTTAAAAGACGCGCTTGTTGGGAGACAACCAAACAACTCGGTTTGCATACTTTTTCCTTTTTCTTTTTGAGTAATTGCTTAAGTGGAGGATTAGGATTGCGTAGATGATGATTGATAGGACTTAACCCTTGCCTCATCTTGTCTTTGGATGTTTGATTGATTTAGATGAATGATTAAGCTTAAGAAGTGGGTGAAAGCATGATGTTTGTGTTCAGGGCAAAGATCATGGTTGCGATCTTGTAACAATAGCCTGCGATCTTGCCCGTGTTTACTTAAGGGAAAGCTTCACATTGTGTCCATGTGTAGTCTCTCCATCTCATCTTTTAGATCTAAATGCCATGTTTCTCGACCACCCTTAGCTTTTTTAGCATATCTTTTCTACTTCACTTTCCAACATCTTTTGAGAAGTAATTTTTATTATTTTTGGATTTCCAACATGTCTCCTAGAAAGATAAGGTACACTTACGGATTTTTTCCCTAAATACAGCAATAATTAAAAATAATTCCCAGAATACATAACTTTTATAAAAATTTCCCAAACTACCAAAGTTTGGTACAAATCGAGTTCAGTAAACTCGAACTAGAACTAGATCGATTGCCGAGCCATCTATCCACGTGCATCGAGTGAAAGGGCCACGGTTGGCTGGAACAAGACGAAGCAGATTGAGGTTATTAAACTCGATCTACGTAGATCGAGGATAGAAGACTCGATAAAACTAACATGGATCGATGACATAGGCAGCGTTCCACCCTAGATCGTGTTACCGGAAATCAATATGGACGGTTCGATGGCCACATCCGCGAAGCAGTAGTGATGCGGATCGAGTGGGTGGAACTCGATGTACGCGGATCGACTCCTTTGAAATCGATCACCTAGACGTTGATCGATGACGTCAGACACGCTCCACCATAGATCGAGTACTTAAAACGTGATCTGGGTCGTTCGATCTGCCTTCCCTCAAGCTACTTTTGACGCGGATCGACGTCACAAAACTCGATGTAGTGGTTCGAGTGACATAAACTCGATCCACTTCCTCCCACAACACCTATAAATTCCCCCCTCCATTCCACCAAAACTCACACCACTCCATTCTTCTTCCTCTCTTCCTCCCAACACTCTTGAAGAAAAAAAATGCTTTGTGGTTGCGGCTAAGCCCGATCTTCCGCATCAATTTTTTTCTCATTAGTTTGGTACTTCTATCACTCAAAATTGTCGTGATGGACCCGAGTATTTATGATCCTAGATTATACATTCAAGGCGGACCGCGAGAAACCGATTTGTTGGATCAACAACCTTATCATCGATCTGAAAGTGTTTGGGCGGCAGACCTGGTAAGCACTTCCTCATGTACTTTTCTTTTTTTAAATGCGATAGTATTCTTTTAATTTTTTTCATATAAAAATTATTGTTTTTTTCCACATGAACAACTTGACGTAATCACCCATCAGTCGCTATCTCGCTTACGTGCATGGGATGTTCGGATCAAGCCATTCATTGAAAGAGCGTGATTGCTGAGGGTGTGAAACTTTGTGGCGATGGAGGTGGACAACAACATTCTTACGTCAATGGTGGAAAGATGGAGAAAAGAAACGCACACATTCCACCTTCTAGAGGGAGAGATGACGATTACGTTGAAGGATGTGGCCATGCTGACAGAGCTTCCAATCGATGGTGATGCCATAATAGAGAGTTCACAGAAAACATTGAATGTTGGGGCCAATTTATAAGCGAGCGTTTAGGCATCAACATCCCCGAGAAAGCACCACAAGGTCGTCGTATACCACCTCTACACAAGTCTATGCTATGGATACCTTGACTAGTGAGGACCGCAGGAGAATTACCGGAGGATGCCACAGATGCTCAGATAGAGAGGTATGCTCGCATATACCTGATTTGTTTGGTTGGGGGATTTTTGTTTCCGAACAAGTCTGTTGTATGTGGCTCCAAGTTCTTTTGGAAGATTGGGACGAGATTGGGAGAAAATTTTGGGGATCTGCTTGTTTGGCGATGATATATGCGGAGTTGTGAAAGTGTACGGACCCGAAAACAAAGCAAGCGGGTGGTGCCATGTTCATCCTCCAACTATGAGTTTGGCGACACCTTCCTACTTTCGCTCTGATCTGCCCTGCCAACAGTTGGGGTCCCGAAGAGCCACTACGACAAGCGGCTTATGGTGCTAGATGGATTGGAGCTATCACTAGACTCGCCTCTCTAGACGGGTACAACCAACATCTTGACCGTATAGAGTTCAACGAGGTAACATTCTATCTAATGAAAATGAATTTATTTTTATGAATATGAATGCTATTTTATTTGATGAAATTATTTTTCTTGGCCCATGATTTATTTTTATGAATATGAATGCTAATTTATTGTTAAATTATTTGTCATTGCCCATGATTTATTTTTATGAATATGAATGCTAATTTATTGTTGAAATTATTTTTCACTGCCCATGATTTATTTTTATGAATATGAATGCTAATTTATTTGTTGAAATTATTTTTCACTGCCATGCTTTATTTTTATGAATATGAATACTATTTTATTTGTTGATATTGTTTGTATGGATTTAGTTTATTTATTGAAACTTAGGCGGAGTGGGATCTATATCCGAACGGTGCAAAGGATTTGTACGAGTTGCGATACCTTGAGGATCGTCGACTATGGTCGTGCAAGTTTCCTGTGGTTTGAGGCCAGGTAATCGAACTATCGTAGTTCGAGTCCAAAGAACTCGATCTTGTACAATCAATAAAATATTATCCCTGCACCCTATTCTGAACCATGTCGGGCTAAAAGCGACTTGGCAGAAAGATTGAGCAGTGGTTCGAGTCCATGGCAATCGAACTAGTACAGTTCAAGTTCAAAAAACTCGATCCAGTACAACAAAGAATCTTATTCCTAAAACCCTATCCTCAAAGCATGTCGGGGGAAAGCGACTTGGCGATAATTGAATAGTAGTTCGAGACCAGGGCAATCTATCCACTTTGTTCGAGTCATAAGGCATCGATCTGGTGCAAATTTGGATCGAGGCTTCTAAAGTCGTTTTAGATGATTGATTTCTTTGGCATCGATCCCACTAGATCGAGTTTTCAAAAATTGATCTTTTTTTATTGAGTCCTTTGTCATCGACCCTATTAGATGGAGTCTTCAAAAATTGATCTACACTTGATCGAGTTGTAAAAACTTGATTTTGTTATAGGTCGAATTCTTAATCGTCGATCCATAATGTTGTTCGAGTTTCTTGGACTCGAACCCTTCCAAACTTTGGTAGTTTGGGAAATTTTTATAAAAGTTATATATTCTAGGAAGTATTTTTAATTATTACTATATTTAGGGAAAAAATCCACTTTTTCAATCATCCATATTTTAACTACCTTGTTGTGCTAAACCTGTGTTGAATGCTTCGTGGACTAAAATGGCTCATCTTCATATTGGCATGAATTTTTGATGCCATATGATTCCTTTCTTTGCTTTAATGATCTTGCTATACATTTTGGGAGACCTTGGTGGCCTATTTTCATGCATTTCTTAAGCTTTCAAAGACCGCGCCACCAAGTGTTCGTAGAAAGTCCCCAATTACATAGTCCCCTTTTTCTTCAATCCTACTCTTTGCGCATCAACTCTCATGCACTTGTTAACTCTTGTTTACTTGATTGTGTGTTGTTTGGGGAGATCCTAATATATTGGCTTGTCATGAACTCCATCTTCATCTAAGTCCTCTCTTTTGTGCACACCTTAGTCTCACACAAGTGTGTGTGTGTGTGTGTGTGGGGGGGGGGGGGGGGTGGGGACTTAGACAGTTGATGAGAGTTCTCTGCTTTGGTGGATGTGGTTTCCAAGCTGGTCACTATGCTCGATCGTACATGGATGGTTCAAGGGAAAACTCCACCGCAAGTGATGTACTGCCAGTGGTGTGAGAGCACCAATCACATGGTGGAGGACTGCCAAGCTATGCGAGAGTCCAGCACACCGCAGGAGCAACTAAACTTCGAAAATAATGATGGGGCGCAACAACCCCCTATTGTAATACATACAACAAGGGGTGGTGCCATCATCCTAACTTATCTTGGAGTGGCAACAACAATCCCAAGCCACCAAGCTTCCAGGCTCCTGATGCTGGTTTCAGAACTAGAGACAACCATACCTGCCCCGCTCGAGCTGGATGCACCAGCAGCCATTTTATCAGCCCATACAGGGGCAGGCTTTTCAACAGCAGTAGTACTAGCAGCCTGGTGCATCTTCATCCATCCCAGCACCGGGCAATTGCGTGTCAGAACTAAGGGATCTAGTGACCACCCTGGCCAGCAACAGTACCCAAAAGTTTAGTAAGCTGGAGCAATTCATGGAAGTAGCTATGGGAAAATTCACGGAGATTGAATCTAGCTAGAGGAACCAGCAGGCACTCTCGCAGGATATGGACACCAAAATCGGGCACCTGGTAGATGCCCTTGCTTCCAGACCGACTAGCACACTTCCTGGCCAACCCCTGCCAAACCCATGAAATCATAAGGAGGGGTTGCACGCCATTATGTTGAGGAGTGGGACGGTGACTGAGGATGTGTCGCCGAGGAGTGCGAAGAAGGTGACGCAGATCACCCTGGAGCTGGAAGAGTACTTGGTGATGGGAAAGGAGCCAGAGGTTTGAGCCCCAAAGCCCAAGCCAGTAGTGGGTGAATATAAGCCTAAGCTCCCTTTCCCCACCAGAATGCACAAAGATTGGTTGGAGGCCAAGTTCGGGGACTTCATATCCATGCTATGGAAGTTGAATGTGCAAGTGTCCTTCTTGGAGGCACTATCTCAGATGCCTAAGTATGCAAAGTTCCAAAAAGATCTTCTCGCAAAGAAGCAGAAGTTGCGCAAGCTAGCCACTATGGAGCTCAGCGAGGACTGCTCAGTCATCCTGTAGAACAAGCTTCCGCAGAAGCAGAAGGACTCAGGTAGTTTTACTATCTCGTGCTCTATTGTTAAATTTCATGTAGAGAGGTCCTTGGAGGATCTAAGTGCTAGTATCAATGTTATACCATATCAATTGTTCAAGAAACTATGCTTAGGTGAACCAAGTGCAACTAGGATGAGTATCCAATTAACAGACCGCTCCATAGTTCATCCTAGGGGCATAGTGGATGACCTCCTAGTTAAGGTTGACAGATTCTTTTATCCTGTGAATTTTGTTGTCTTAGAGATCAATGAAGAGCAGAAGTGCCCCTTATACCAGGAAGAGCCTTCCTAGTCACCGCCAAGGTTGTTATTGATGTGCATGATGGGACCTTAGTTTTGAGAGGTGTCAAGTAGCAAATAACATTTTCCATTGCTAATAATATGACCGATATCTCGCCTGTGCATGCTTTATCTCACCAGGTGCACGAGGTTGTCGTGTATCCTTTTGTGTCTCCCGTTTTGCAGGACTCTGCACCCCATTGATGTGGCCACCCTCAAACTCGTCGTTTTTGTGCTCGAGGCGCCAGAGGTCCTGGAATGGAGCCTGATAGTGGACGTCGGTGGTGTACTGTCTCTTCGTCATCGTCATGTGAGTGGGGTCGAGCCCCATGTCCTGAGCAAAGTAGTCGTATGTCAGCACCCGCGGGTGACCTCCCAACATGAACTCCACGTAGGACCGACTCCGCTTACTCGCCGGGATGATGTGGAAGAAAGTGGAGTAGAACTCCACACAGAGATCTCGGTAAATGAGCTCATCCACCGTCAGCAACTGGCACCACTGGGGTTGAAAAAAAACCTCCGACATTGCCGCCCAACACCTGAACATGTCCAGGTCAAGCATCCAGTGAGGCCCAACCTCACTATTCATCTGATACGCGAACTTGGCCCCGAACTGTTTGTGGTGCACCAAGTAGTGGATGTATTGGTGATAAGTTTCAACCATCCTACAAACAGTCAAACATGCACCATACGTTGAAATAATTGTAAAGCTCAACTCATCGGGAGGAAAACGAATTCCCCTCACACTTATGTTTCCACTACGGTTCCAGGCCATTGAAAATTTTCCTCAAGAAGGGATTCAAACAATTAAGCTCAAGCACATTGGGCATGGTTCTAGTTATTTCATGGATTATCCACACAATATCAAACCCGAACCATGCCACAATGGCTTCCTTCCACCACACAGATATAAAAAATCCACATTCATTCACATTTTTGCACTTGGTGGGCAAATTTCACACTTAAAAGCAATTTGACCTAAATCATATCCACCAAGGCTCAATTAGGCTCATTCAAACATCATGCAACATTCATTCACCTAGAATCAACTAATACCTCACCCAATTTCTACATTCAATAATCGATCCACAAAATCACCTCACTTCACATCCTAATCCGATTCTCCAACAATTAACCAAGAAAATCGATTTGTCACTGGCTACTATGTTTACTTGGGTGACTCCCTCTTTTCATGGAAGAACAAGAAGAAAACAACCATCTCCCGATCTTCGTATGAGGCAGAGTACATGGCCCTTGCTTACACCACCTGGAAGATTCACTGGCTCTTTTACCTGCTCCACGACTTCTGCATCAGTCACCCTCAGCCTGCGACTCTCTATTGTGACAACCAATCGGCGATATACATCATCGAGAACCCAACCTTTCACGGACGAGCTAAACATATCGAACTTGACTGCCATAATTGTCCGTGAAAACTTACTTCCAAGCAGAATTAAGAACCTCCATATTTCCACTCTCCATCAATTGGCTGACATCCTCACCAAACCGCTCCCGTCGGCCACTTTCACCTCTCTTTTCTCCAAGCTCGGCGTGCACAATATGTGCCCTCCAGCTTGCGGGGGGTATCAGGGCATAACTCTGCTTCTTCGCGGGACTCTGTTTTTGGGCCAGAGATGACGATGAGTCAATAATTGCACACAAAGACGCCGTTCCCACAAACAATCACAAGAGCTGGAGTGATGTCGTTTCTGGAAAAGTTCAATTTAGTCCCTGAAATTCTTATTTATGTTTCTTTCCATTTTGGCAATGTAATTTCTTAGAACACAAGATTTGTCTTCTTCTTTCAATTTGTCTGTACCTTGAACATCCAACTATATAAGTTGAAGTCTAAATGAACGCTAGCTAAGCTCTTTTATCTCCAACCTTAAAAGGTTGTCAGAAGTTGTTGAAACCAATTACGGGTAGAAAGACGGCCAACGAGGCAACAATTATTGAGGTTTAGCATAGACTAGCAATCGCTTGAGTTGTGCTAGGTCAATGAGCTCCAGTAACCTAGAGATAGCCCAGAGATCGACAACCGCCTACAAAATCGACAACCACACTAGAGCTATGTCTACATTTTCCCCCATAAATCGAATCCAAATTCAATTGGAACGATATAATTTTTAATCCTTACTGCTCCAATTCAGATTCAATTTAGTAAACTAAATTGTCAGCGGAACGATGGAGCTTCGAATGGAGATGCTCGCCCATATCGCTATTACTACATAAATGTACCAGAGGCCAGAGCCGGTGCTCTCCTATTGTTCTCTGTCATCTCCGCATCTCCACCAGCCATCTTCTCTTTGCCTCACACAGTAACGCCTAGTTCCACCCTTTTTGTTCTTTCCGGTCGTCGTCGTTGTCGTTCCAAGGAGGAATAGGTTAAATATGTTGGAAATTCAGGTTTTCCGTCACCGCGGTTGATGTATAGAGGGGTGAGAAAGAGGCCTTGAGGAACGAGGTGAGTTTGGCTGGGGACGAACTGTAAATAGAGGATATTTTTGGATTTTTATAAAAATAGAAGGGATAAAATTGGTTGAAGTTGTAAACGAGTGATTTCGAAATAGTTGATGGGGATAAACTATTTAAAAAATCCTCAATTGTAGGCAAAATTATTAATCTTAATATCTCATTTTCACAAATGCGTTATTTAGTCAAAATCTGGCCTCATTAAACCTCATCCAAATGATCCATAAATGTCACTTTCCAAAGATATTTTTACTTTATGGGATAAATACCATGTTTGATCACTATTTTACTAAAACATGTCATGTTTAGTCACTGGAAAAAAATATTATGAATTTTGATCACTCAAATTAATGAAATAGTCCACATTTAGTCACTTTCCGTTAGTCTTCATCCAACTTCGTTAATGAAGTTCGTTATGTGTTGACGTGACAAACAGAATTGTTGAGTCAACATAAATTAACCAAAAAATGGTAAAATCGGACCAGCCATGTCGTCTTGCTTGGCCTAACCCAACCCACCATTCCCTTCTCGAATATCTAACCCTTTTCTTCCTTGACATTTCCCTATTCTTTCTTCTAACCCTTCTTCCCCGATCTTCCCCAACGCTTCCTCGACCCCACTCCTTACTCCGACGAAACACAAGCCGCTAAACAAACTGCTTCCTCTTCCCTGACATTTCCTCCCAACTTTCTTCCTCATCCATTTCTTTGATAGCTCACCGGCGACGAAGGAGGGATGCAGCCAGACCGCCGCCTCCGACTCCCAGCATTGCCCGCCATCCCACGCCACCCCTGTGCTAGCCTGTCTTCCTCGCCCAGTCCATCCCCCACCGTTGATTCATGTAAACGAATTTGATTCAATTAAATGGTAGCCCCAGGCTAACCAAAACCCGAACAGCCAAAACAATCACAAATCCATAGAGCAAAACCATGCTCTTGAACACCATGATCGATTTCAGGAAGGATAAGAAGATTTTGTTGCTCTCGTCGATGCACACGAGGGTTCTGAGCTCGGCGTACGCGTCCCTGCTGGAAGAGAGGAACTGATAGATGTTTAAACTAGCAAGGTATGAGAGGTGGTCGAGAACCAATTTGACATTCAGAGCTGAAGTGTCGCGACCGAGGTCATCATCAATGTGGAGGGAGGGGCGAGCCGTGGAAGTTGAGGTTGTCGGAGCAGCGGGAACGATGGTGGCTTGTGGAGGGGAAGGAGGATCGAACGAACAAGGATAAAGAAGCGGAGGTGAGGGTGGGGGATTTGGCAGGAAAGTGGAAGCGAGGACGGAGAGGAGAAGAGAAGCACTGGTTATTGTCCGTTGAGTTCATCGGAGGGAATTAGTTCTTATTTTTTGTTGTTGGAATCCGTCTTGCATCTCTCTCAGGGGTGAATGGGTTTGTTTGTAACGATTTCAAGGCAGCAGAGGAATTTGGGATTAGAAGAAACATTTTCTGATGAGGAAGTAGTGATTTCTGGCCAGTAATTACGGGTTGGATCACGGTTGGTGATAACACATAAATTAGTGTTATTTACCCTTCATATTAAGGTTTGTTTCGTGCCAATTCATGTACATAATTGCTTGAAAAGTGTCAATTGCATCCTTATTTCGTTCCTATTTAATTTCATAGTGATTTTCGGGTGCTTTAGACAATACATGCGAATTAGGTACAAAATAAGATCACCAGTGTAGCCAATGGGGCTGAGACTGAAGATCGCAGCCTTGAACCAAAGATCACGACCGAGAACCATGCCTATGAAGACAAGCCAAAGATCGCGGCCCCGATCTGGAGGGCTCAAGGCAAAAACTTCGCGAGGAAGCAGCCAAGGGGAAGCAGTGAGTATCCCCAAGCAGAAAACGACCAGAGCATAAATAGATTGCGAGGAAGTTCGCGTCCGCGACTCATGGATCATGATCGTAAAGTCCTCGTCCCTGAAGGTCGAAATGAAAGCTTCTCAAGATCGCAATCTCCATGCAGAAGATCGTGCCCGCGATCTTTAACCTTCATGCCCGCGATCTTCTCCGTCCTCTGATGCCTATAAAATGAAGACCCCTTCCCCCCATTCAACAGAGCTGATTTTGAGATAGAATTTTTGGTTTTAGAGAGAGAACCTGAAGAAAGGAGAAGGAGCTAGAAGAAGAAGAGGCATCTTCATCAACATCAAGTCTTCTTCCACCTCTTCTATGTATCTTCTTCCCTCCTTTATGGAGTAGTCCTCTAAGGTACTAGGGGTTCCAAACCCAAACCCTAGTTTTAGGGTTACTATGTATGTATGTATGTATGTATGTATGTATGTATGTATGTATGTATGTATGTATGTATGTATGTATGTATGTATGTATGTATGTATGTATGGATATTTTAGGTTTTTAATGAATGAATGTGTTTATCTAGTTGATTTGCATGCTATTCTATCTTTGATTGTGTTTGGGTAACTCGCCCTAATCTTCTCTTCTAGAATACTTGAGCTTCTAAGCTGGGTATGGAGTTTCAGGGTTAGATGGGTATGCGCCATCAAGCAAATTGAGGTTAGATTTATGAATAGGATCCTATGGTGGTAGAGGCGACCGAACCCCTGCCATAGGAATGCCTTCCTAGATAGAACCCGGGATGAAACCTTGGTGTGGACTATGGGTAGTACCCATTGAAAGGAGCTACGAGCTTAATGCCCCAGATACGATAGCCTAGATCGAGGTGACTATAAATGGATTTTGGGGAGGCATACTTGGAGGCGTGTTGATAACCACGAAAACCCACGGAAAAGAGCTCACTCACCACATTCGACAAACCCTAAGTATCTAGAAACTACATAGTAGTCCTAAGCTAGGGCGAGGGATAGTTTCTCGAAGTACCTGCTTTTATCTTTACTTGTTCTCTCAACTAGTAGTTCCCTGATATCCTCCACACAAAAATCTTAAACTGATTGGCTAGATAACAACAACGTGCGAAGTAGGCTAGGGTACTTGGACCCGATTGCAATACGACCTTGATTGCCATTATACGACAATAAATTATACGACCTTGATTGGCCTAGGATGGGATAGTTGTTGACACGTGCTAACCATTGACAATAAATTATACGGATGAAATCGATTAGTTGGAAAGGTTTGGGTTAGGGAAATGATGTGGCAGGTTATGTGGCAGCTTAAAAAGGGGTCGGCACTTCTACTAGGCACATAAGCAATTGATTAACGGTGTTAACAGAGACTAACAGAGAGTGACTAAACGTGGACCGTTTTACTAATTCGAGTGACCAACATTGATATTAATTTTTTCCAGTGACTAACCATGACACCTTTTAGTAATCTCAGTGACCAAAAGTGGCATTTACCCTTACTCTCTGTGTGGAACATTTTTCATTTTATCACTATTTTCATCAACTTCATAAATTGTAAAGTCTCAAAGTTGGGGCTAATTTATCGACCCATTCACGTAACCGCAATGTGATGTAAATATCGCTATCAGCTTTAATAATTATTAAGACTTGATTATTGACTTGCTCTGACTATCACAATAAAATCCCACCTAAGGCCCAAGAAACCTCCACATTCCGCTTCCAATCTTTCCTTGTGCACCCTCGTGGGAAAAGTTAGGGGTGGCGTGTACTCAGCCACAGGTGGTGGCGTCGGCATTGCCTTTCTCGCCCCTCCTCTCTTTTCTCCCGAGGTTTCCTCTTATTCACCCTCGGGTAGAGGGTCTTCCTTCTTATTCACTTCTTTGGCAACAACCTCCAAAGTCAGCTTCCCACTCCTCAAATGAATTGCATTCACCCCGACATGATCCTTGGGGTTGGTAATGGTTTGAGAAGGTAGGGCTCCTTTTGGTCTCTCGGTGAGGATCCTGACAAGATTGCTGATTTACACTTCCAAATTTTGGAGACTTGCTTGATGGCTTCGGAGTCCCGCCTCTACTAAGGTAAACTTGGAGGTTGCCACATCCATGAATTTCTCAATCTTCTCGAACTTCTGAGAGCTTATACTCACAAAGGTGGTCACAAGGTCTTCAAGTTTAGAGAGCTTGTTGACTTTTTGTTGTTGTTGAAACCTTTGACCGCATTGTGCTTGGTATGATTGTTGGAAGTTCGAGTTTGGAATTGAGGCCTTTGTTGGATGTAAGTTGGTCGAGGTTGATAGTTGCCCATTGCGACCTTGGAAACCGAGAGGTCTTGGATTGGTAGGGGAAGACCAAGCAAAGTTTGGATGATTGCGCCACCCGGGGTTGTATGTGTTGCTATAAGGGTTGTTCCCTCTAGCATTTGCAATGAAACTCACTGGCTCCTCGAGGGTACTTGTCTCCTTCATCGCTTGGAAATCCGCAATTTCATGAGTAGTGCTTGAACACCAATCACAAGACACCACCTCTCTCTTCCCTTGCTTCTTGTCCTCAAGGATCACCTTGATCAACTTGTCAAGCTTCGCTCAAAGTGGAGCACTTGCTCCCACACTTCGCACTCCTCTTTCGGTGCTTCTCTTTGCTCTTCTTGTCAAGCCCCAATCATATCCCTTGAGAGACATATCTTCGAGCAACTCGATCACTTGAGGATGGTCATGTTCATCAACTTCCCTTGGCAAAGAGAGTCAATGAGGATCTTGTCATCTTGATTGAGTCCTCCGTAAAAAGTTTCTATCCGAAATTATCCTCGAATCCATGGTGAGGGAATTAGAGGAAATAGTCGGAGAATCTTTCCCATGCATCCCTCAATGTCTCATCCTTCTCTTGCTCAAAGTGACTGATCTTTCTCCACTTGGCCGTCTTGGAAGGAGGACAATATCGGGTCATGAACTTGTTGAGTAAATCATCCCAAAAGGTGATGGATATAGTTGGATGGTTGTTGAGCCATAGCAGTGCCTTCTCCGCCATAGAATAGGGGAAGAGCTTCAATCGCAATGCCTCATCGGGGACGCCATTTATCTTCAAGCTTCCCGCTAGCTCAACAAAAATTTGGACATGCTCTTGTGGTTATTCATGAGCAAGTCCATTGAATAAGCATTTTGTTGAATCATCGTCGCGAGAGAGGGCTTGATTTCAAAGTTGTTGGCGGCCACGGGTGGATGTAAGATGGGAGATTGGATATCCGCCGCCCGTGGAGCCATGTAATATCTCATAGTCCTTGGCTCTTCCTCGACTCTCGCTTCGAAATTTGGGATTGGAAGCAGATTAGCCCCTCGATGTTGATCCCCCGCCATCTCAACTTCAAATTCTCCTTCAATTCCTTCAATTCCGAGACCAACTTGTTTTCCCCTTTCTTCACTTCTCCTTCTTGCCTCCGCTTGCTCCCTCTCTCGAGCTAGAAGTCGGAGAGTCCGGTTGATGTCCTCGTCCAGTGGTGTTAAAGGTGTCGGATTGCTCCGGGTCATGAACCTCCCTACACACACTTAAAGAACAAAACACGTCTAGCACAAGCAAACTATACAACTTAACAAATCAGATATTAAAAGCTAGATTAACACCAAACAAAATTTTCACGATAACAGACCGAAGTATCGCTACTTCGATGGTTTGAAACATTATCTAGCGAATTAGTTTTCGTGAAAACAAAGGTCTAATGCTAAATTACTTTGCAAAGGTAAAATGTATTTGACACTAATTGAGAAGGTTTCACCCTAGTGTTGCTCCCCCTAACTAACAATTACGACTTGAAGGATCGAATGATCGTGTGTGGTTAGGGGGTTATAAATCGCTGGAAAGTCTAACAAGTAGCGAAAGCTTCCCTCTTAGTCTCTAGGTCGAGGAAATGGGATACGATCCAAGTCACAAATGCGACCCTCTCAACATATTGACTAAGGAATGGTTGTCAAACAAGTAGTCAAAGCTATCCTCTTAGTCTCTAGGTCGAGGAAATGGGATACGATCCAAGCCACTAATGCGACCCTCTCAACCTATTGACTAAGGAATGGTTAGACTTCACCCTCGAATTGGAGTTTGGACGGCCACCCACAACCAAACCCTAAATGCTAATACGAAATAGGAGGTTTTCCCTACATTAACCTAACTAGGAAGCAACGAATTACCCAAGAAAACCCAACATTCAAGCCTCTTCCAAAGAAATGAAGGGTTTTTTTTTCTCTACCTAGGTTAGAATGGCAATTACATTGATAGGTGTTGATGTGACTTGAATCTGACTATCAACCGCTACGACTGGAATAGTCACGGTGTATGGGCTCAATGTTATTTGGGTTCGGGTTCTGGGCCTAGTCTGTAACCGTTTCCTTTGCTAGATTGGATTAGGTTTAGACCCACATGGAGAAGTATAAATATTTCTCATCTCCTCTGTAATCTGTAATCTCCTCGATATACTGAAACTGGCTCTCTCTCGCCCGTGGTCTATCTGACGTGTTAGTGAACCACGTAAATCGTGTGTCGTGTTTTTCGATTCTCGCTTTCGTATTCTTGTTTTCTCGATTCCAATGATTTCCCGATCTGTAGCAGCGCGTTTATAACAAGTGTTATTAGAGTCGTGGCTGGAAATCAGGCTAGGGGTTCGATTATGAAGAATGACGTCAGTGAACATGAAGATCGAGAAGTTCACGGGGAAGAACAGCTTCGCTATATGGTAGATCAAGATGCAGGCTTTGGAGGAGAAGGCCCAGTCGACCATCATGCTATCGTTGTCTGATGATGTCATCATTGAATTCGCTGCTGAGAAGACTACCGCGGGCTTGTGGTTGAAACTAGAGAGTCTGTACATGACTATGTCTCTAACCAAAAAGCTGCATCTCAAGCAACGGTTGTTCAGCTTGAGCATGCAAGAAGGTACGCCTTTGAGGGAACATCTGGAGTAGCTTAACTCTATTTTGCTAGATTTACGAAATATAGATGTGAAAGTTGATGATGAAGATGTTGCCATAATCCTGCTTGTGTCTTTGCCGAGTTCATATGAGAATTTCATGGATTCATTTATTGCTAGTAAAGATAGCTTGTCGTTGGAGGATGTCAAATCTGCTCTTCACACGAGAGAGATCAGACATAAGGCGTCTGAATCTGGCACAAGTGGTGAAGCCTCGGGGTTGGTTGTCACAGATGGAAAAGGAAAGTAGAAATCTAATAAAGGGGTTGGTTGTCACAGGTGGAGTTGTGTATGTCTGCAGGGGTTCGAGGAAGGTACTGAAAGGCGTGAAGCGTGGTAGCTTGTATGCATTACAAGGAAATGTGTTGTCAGGTTCTACTGCAGTTGCATCATCTCAGGTTCATCAGGAAGATATGACCACTATCTGCCACATGAAACTAGGGCATGTGAGTGAACGGGGGATGCAAGTTATGTCAAAGAGGGATCTTCTTTGTGGGCACAATGTGCATAATTTTGAGTTCTGTGAGCATTGTGTGTTTGGGAAGCTACATTGCAGCAAGTTTCCCAAGAAAGGTATTCACCGGACAAAGGGGATACTGGATTACCTCCACTCCGACTGTTGGGGTCCTTCACGAGTTGAATCCATTGGAGGTAGCAGGTATTTTCTGTCTATTATTGATTATTATTCGAGATTTACTTGGATTTTCACGACGAAACAGAAAAGTGAGGCTTTCACGAAGTTCATTGATGGAGAATCATACCAAAAAGAAGATCAAGAAGCCGCGAACGGACAATGGTCTGGAGTTCTGCAATTCTGAGTTCAACAAATTCTGCAAGGATGAAGAGATTGCCCGTCATCGGACCGTTAGAGATACACCCCAACAGAATGGCATTGCAAAAATGATGAACCATACATTATTGGAGAGAGCATGGTGCATGCTCTCTAATGCTGGACTAGAGAGAAGATTCTGGGCAGAAGCAGTAAACATGGCGTGCTTCCTGATCAACCGTGGAACTCACACAGGTATCCAGTGTAAGACTCCTTATGAAGGGTGGTATGGTAAGCCTGCTAATTACTCTTCACTGGAATTTTTTGGGTGTCCTATTTATTAACATGTGGATGAGGGTAAACTGAACCCAAGGGCGAGGAAGAGTTTATTTGTGGATTACGGAAATGGAGTTAAGGGATTTCAAATCTGGTCACCTTCTAAGCACCGAGTTATACTCAGTAGAAATGTGATATTTGATGAGAAGTCTATGTTTAACCCCATGTTGAAGGTTACTGTTGTTGAAGGTAGCAAGAATGTTGATAAGCAGGTGGAGCTGCAGACTCTCAAAGAGAGTGAGTTTGAGCACCAAGGTGGAGAAGATCAACATGAGGATGTTTCTGCAGAGCCAGAAACTTCAGAGTCCAGTGCACGAGCTCAACAGTCTATGGCTTCCGTTAGACCGAAGAGAGCGAATGCAGGAACACCTCCAGAGAGGTATGGCTTTGAGGATATGGTGGTGTATTCATTTCAGGTTGCTGAAGAAGTGGATGCAGGTGAACCACAATCCTACAGACAAGTCGTTTCGTGTGGCGAAGCTGATTAGCGGCTTGCTGCAATGGGAGATGAGATAGAATCCCATGACAGGAATCAGACTTGGGAGCTAGTTAAACGACAACAGGGAAGGAAGATTGTCACAAACAAGTGGATCTACATGAAGAAGGAATGAATCACTTATGAAGAGGGCATGAAATTTAATGCTCGGGTGGTAGCACGAGGCTTCTCGCAGAGGGAAGGAGTTGACTACAATGAGATTTCTCACCAGTGGTCAAACATACTTCGATCAGGGTACTACTAGCAATAGTGTCACATTATAACTTGGAGCTCGAGCAGCTAGACGTGAAGACAGCTTTCCTACATGGAGAGTTGGAGGAAGAAATTTACATGACTCAGCCAGAAGGATTCTAGGTTCCAGGAAAAGAAGACTATGTTTGTAAGCTGAAGAAGTCCTTGTATGGACTTAAGCAGTCTCCGAGGCAGTGGTACAAGAGATTTGACAGTTACATGCTTGATCTAGGCTACAGCAGAAGTCCATATGATTGTTGTGTGTATCACAACAAGCTGGATGATGGTTCGATGATCTATCTTGTTCTGTATGTGGATGATATGCTCATAGCTGCGAGGTCGAAGTCTGATATCCAAAAGTTAAAGGCACTGTGAGTTTGAGATGAAGAATTTGGGATCTGCTCAGAAGATCTTGGGTATGGAGATTTACAGGGACATGTCGAAGAAGAAGCTTTTCTTGTCACAGAAGAGCTACATCCAGAAGATACTGTCGAGGTTTGGCATGTCTTCAGCAAAGCCCTTAAATACTCATAGTGCTTCAAATATTCATCTATCCTCATCTTATGCAACACAGTCAAAGGCTGAGAATGAGTACATGTCGAGAGTCTCATATGCTAGTGTACTAGGTATCTTGATGTATGCTATGGTATGCACTAGACCTGATCTTGCACATGTTGTTAGTGTTGTCAGCAGGTTCATGATACAACCTAGGAAGGAGCATTGGAAGGCTGTGAAGAGGATCTTCCGGTACCTTAAGGGTACACCTAATGTGGGGACTTAGCTTCGGAAGTGATACAGAGTGTTTGGTGTCTGGGTATTATGACTCGGACTATGCTGGAGATGTTGACGCGAAAAGATCGATGATCGGTTATGTATTCACTCTTGGGAGTTATGTAGTGAGCTGGAAGGCAACTCTGCAGTCGGCGGTGACATTGTCTACTACTGAGGCAGAGTATATGGCGTTGACAGAAGCTCCTTAGGAAGGAATTTGGTTGAAGGGACTGGTTGGTGATCTGGGTCTACATCATGATCAGGCATTGGTGTATTACGACAGTTTGAGTGCAATATGGTTGGCCAAGGATCAAGTCCACCATGAGAGGACTAAGCACATCGACATGAGGTATCATTTCTTGAAGAAGGTTGGTATTATTTCTTGAGGATAGAGAAGAGGATAATCATGTTGATATGTTCACGAAGCCGGTTCCACATGGCAATTTCCAACACTGCTTGGACTTGCTGAATGTCTTGAGTGGGTGACTCCGCCCTTGGGGGCATTGATGTCGGGAGAGAGAGAGAGAAGAAGCAGAGTACGTGAGAGATTATAGAGGAAGAGAATTCAAGTCAAGTGGAGATTTGTTGATGTGACTTGAATCGGACTATCAGCCGCTACGACTGGAATAGTCGCGGTGTATGAGCTCAATGTTATTTGGGTTCGGGTTCTTGGTCAGGTCTGTAACCGTTTCCTTTGCCATATTGGATTAGGTTTAGAGTTTAGACCCACATGGAGAAGTATAAATACATCTCATATTCTTGTTTTCTCGATTCCGGCGATTTCACGATCCGTAGCATCACGCTTATAAGGGTAAAATACCCCGGATACCACTAAAGTATGAGAATTGGGAGAACTATACCACTTAAGTAAGAATAGGCCGTCGGGTACCACTAACGTTATTAAATTGTGCATCGGTTAGAAATTTCATCCGCCTACCTATCGTTAGCAATGAATAAAATATTATTTTTTGGTAAACAAAATTTAAAAAAATTAAAAAATTTCATCCCCTCCAGCCTTCATCTCCAAACCATCACCGCACACCGCGAGCGCCGGCCCTGCAACTTCTTCTTCATCTTCGTCTCTGTCTCTCTCAAAAAAGAAGGGCACCTCCCTCCATCCCTCATTCCCACCATTTCTTTATCCCTTTTGTTTTTCTGTCTGCTCTTTTTTTCAAAGAGAAGGAGGAAAGGAAGGTCTGTTTCTGCTTGCTCTGGTTAATTAATGTTATTAGGATTCACGATTTAGTTTTAATTTTTGCAATCTTAATTTATTTAACTAATAAATTGATTGCAGGTGTTGGTTGGTTCCCCTTTCGCTTCATTACCCATCCATCTGTTCCTCCACGATCCAGAGTTTTTGCGGCGGCTACTTCTAAACAAATAGCATGAATTTTGGGCAGGGAGACGACAACCGCAGTAAAGACACTGCCCCCCGCAGCAGTCGAAGAAGAAGCAGTAATAGAAGAAGGGAACGACGAATTACGAAGAACAAGAGGAAGGAGACGGACGGACGAAACTTTATTAATGTTGATTTTTTAAATTTTTTTATCAAAAATAATATTTTATTAATCGTTAACTGAAATGGACGGAATTTCTAACGGATACACAATTCACTGATATTAGTGGTACCCGACGCCCTAATCTTACTTAAGTGGTATCGCTCCCCTAATTCTAATACTTTAGTGGTACCCGAGGTATTTTACCCCGTTTATAACAATAGGCTTTCACACAACACAACACAATCATTCATGAATATACCTCCACATTCACATTAAACACAACCACACACAAAATTATTCAATTCATACAAGCATTCACATAATTGTAGCTAGGGTTTACAAACACCCAAGTGAAAGAAGGGACTACTCAATGCTAAGAGAAGGGAAAACACGAGAGGGAAAGGAAAAGCATTATGAAGATGCAAGCCTTGCTCCTTGTGTTGAAGAGATCCTCCTTTGGGGGAGGAATTCCCAAATCCTTGCTTGGAGATGAAACCCTAGCTTATCCTCTTTTTTGGTTCGTCACTTTCTCACTCTAAAATCTGAAGAAGAATAATTTTCTCACAATAGGTCTCCCCCCTTTCTTCTTCCTTTCAGCTGGTTCTTTATACTGAGATCGAGCTCAGTTCACGGCCTGAGTTCACAGCCGTGAATATCAAAATGCGTCCGTGAACACAACATGCTGAACTAGAACGCACCTTTCACTTCTTGGGTTCACTCACGGTTTGTGGTTGCACTGTGAACAGCCTTGGCGTCAGTAACCTCAAAACCCTCTATGGACGCTCCTTGGTTCACGGATTGTGGTTCCAGTTCGCGGTCCTGGAGACCGTGAACTCTAATGGCAGACCGTGAACACAGGTTGTCTCCTCCTCTTTGCCAGGTTTTTGCTCCTTTTCTTCCAACTTTCGACTCCGGGGTTGGTTTCACCTTTTAGGATATGAAACACACTAAAACACAAGAAAGCGTAAAACCACCCCTGTTGGAGCTCAATTGCAACAAACGTCAAAGAGAAACGGGGATAAAAAAAATGTACAATTAGACTCGAATAAATTATCAAAATGATCTAGCGTTATAAAACTACATGAAGTATAATATAGTTTAATATATGGAAACATAGGTTAATATGACATTTTGTATTGTGTATTTATTTGGAGAGAAAATTAAGTAACAATCATGAGCCGGTATGCAAACATTTGTTATACTTGTACAACCGATCATAAATGATTCCCCAATTTCCTCCTCTAGGAATTCTCATTTCGGACAACATGCACATGCCCAGAGTTGCTTCATACGGTGACCCAAATGAATAAAAGCACCCAATTCCGTATCAAATGCTCTTCCCCACCATTTTGCTTGCTTTCCACGACATTGCCTTTTTCCTTCTCCCTACCTACAACACCACAAAGGCACTCGAACTCCCACTGAAGTGACGGATCGAACCCAAAAGCCCTTTGGCCGCACCAAAATGACTAATCCTATACACTCCCGCACCCGCACCCTCCGGAATCCTCCATTCCACAGTCGCGTAGCTTTCCGGGCTGAGCCTCCCCGGCCTCGACCACTTGAACCGCAGGCAGAAATCATCGTCGTCGTAGGCCGAAACCCACATTTTCTTCTCCAGCAACTCCACCAGCACAAACGTGCCTTCCGTCATTAGATCGTTCCTCGGACATGCCGAGTAGAAAGTGACCGAAACCAATTCCCCCCTTCTGAAGGTGGAATTCGCAGGCACATCGGTTTTCATGTCTCCAAAGTTCCTTCCTAACGGGGCTGAATCCAGAACGACGGGAGGCAGGAGTTCGATTTGCTTGTCGAGAAGGTCCGGTGGCTGTGGCCCTGCATCCACCGCCTGCCCTCGCACTAGGGCCGTGGCTAGCTTCTTGAATTCCTGGATGTAGGCGCTCAAAGTGTGTGGACCGTACAGAGTGGAGGCACCCTAATTGCATCGACCCATGAGATGAATGAAGTCATTCGATTTTCAATGAGGCTGATATTTTTAAAAAAAAAAAAAATTGATCTTTCATTGATTACCTCGTATCTCTGGACCTCGTACTCCTCGAAGGTGGTCACATACTGGGAATAAGTGTTGGTGAGTCCGGAGATGACGATGTGGACGTTGCTGTTGAACTCTTTGCTACCTCCTGAAGTAAGAGCTGCTCTCACTGCATCTCTTAGCCTTCTTCCCGCCATTGTTGTGAACTCTGGAAATGAAGTAGCGAAAGGGAATGTAATGTAGCACTAGAAATGAAGATATGGGGAGAGGAATATGATCAAACTTTGTACCTCCAGGCACATTGAGAATCACAAGCTGGCCAACCCGCATAATTTGAACTGGAAGAATGGCTGGCTGCACAGCATAAGCATCAATTATTATTATGCATTAAAGATACAAGCTTTTTTGTACTATTTACTGACTGAAGGAAGCGTAATTACACAAACTACTTACTGCCCAGTCATAGGGTTGCTTCATTTCACCAGTATCAAGCAAGATTGGCTTCGGCTTCTGACAGTTGACCTGCTCTTGTCCAGGTGCCTTGAGAAAGTTCCTCACTAGGCGCCAGAACGCATTCCCCTGATCATCGCCTTGCCGGAAATCAAAAGCACCAGGCCCATCGGTGGTTCCTGCAGCAAAGGCAAATCCCATGGCAGCAGGGCAAGTCTTCACCACTTCGCTCCCTAGCGCCACCTCCAGGTTGGAGAAATCTACAAACTCGTGTCTGTAATCGACCTTGCCCTTCAGCTGCTCCCTCGCCTTGCCAAACAACTCGGTGGCCTTCTTAAACTGTCTCTCCCCAATGATCCTCGTGCTCTCGAACTCATCTGGGTACCTACAAAAAACATTCAACACATGTTGGCATTTGAGTTTAACCCAGTTCAACTAAACCTCCATGGAAAAACTCAGAGAATTTAGAAAAGGGTGGTGATTGGCAATTACCCTGGACCTCTGCCGTAGCAGAGCTCATTCTTGCCGTTACAGGTACTGTGATTGAAATCACAAGGCTGTCCAGTATCCGTGCAAAACGCGCCGAGCACGTTCGGACTCACATCCCCACAATTTGTTTGACAAAATGCCGCAACGAACTGCGGCCTCCCACCACCGGTCTGGCTCTTCCTGACCCTTTTCGAGACGCTCAAATTCCCCGTCAAATTTCGACCCTGGGTTGACTTGAACGACGACGCGGCTTCCAGCAACACGGCGCTCTCGTCACTTACCTCATCGACTAAACTTGACATTCGTCGAGGAATCCGGTCAATAGTCGCAGAGTTACTACTGGCGAATTGAGTATTTGAAGACAATCCGCGGTTGTCGAACCAGTCCTCCATGAATCGAGCAGCGGCGCCCTTATTGTCGCCGCTAATCAGCGAATTGGTCCTGCTCATCGAAGTTCCATGAGTGGCAAACCAGTTGAAGCTACCAATTGGGCCGAACTCATCGTCTACAAACTTGATCAATGTCATCTCTTTGTCGACATTGTACTTGTACTTGGCCCTCTCAGATGCAGGGTTGTTGAGGTAACCACTCGGGCTGCGATTCACTCCAGCATCCAACAGCTCCCCTGCAGAATTTACAAACGTAATTTTAAATTCATAACCAAATTGAAGAGGTGAGCATAGCGGCCAAACGAAATCGTTTTTTTCTTCATCAGTCTAACCTGAATTAACTGAGATTGACCCCGGTCGGAGGTTCTGGTGAGCTAGAACGATGCTCTGTTCAATCCCATCAACGAGGGCGTCAAAGGATTCACGAACAAACCCAAAGGAGGTAACGATGTAGACAACGTATTGGAGATAGCCTCCTGGTCCAGCGTGGGTGTGGATCCCGCTGATGGCCACGTTCTGCTCCGTGTAAAGATCACCGTACCTAAAAACAGAGAGACAAAAAAGAAGTCAGAAACAGAGTAAAAAAAAAAGATGGGAACAGGGGTTGACAGAGCGCATTGATTGACGGCGACCTGGCTTTGAGGCGCTCAATGAGTTTGATGGTGACGATCTGGGAAGCCATACAAGCGTCGAGATTTACATAGACGAGACGGTTGCCCTTGGGTTCGGCGACGATGAAAGCACGGGCGCGGAGGCGGAAGTGGACCCCGGAGGCAGTCTGTTGGGCGTTGGCGTAACCCATCATGTTGACGTCGGCGGCAGGGCCGGTAATGTCGTAGCTTCCGAGGCCGATTAAGTAATTGGAAGCGAAGGCCGATGGAGGGGTGTGAAGTAGGAGGAGGAAGAGGAAGAGGAAGAGGAAGGGAAGGATAGCCATTGGGATTTTTGGGAATGGTCACAGTTGGGAGCAGAGTATGAGGGAGGGTTTTAATAGAATAGAAGTGCCTGTGGAGAGTGAAGAAGCTGTGCTGGGTCTGGGTGGAAATGGCAGCTCATAGTGATTGGGCTTATTTAATGGTTTTGTTGGGGGACCTCTGAGTGGTTGATTGTGGAATTGAAAGGTGCAGTAACAGTACTATTAAGCAGAGCACCTGGTAGAGGCTTGTTTAGACGAAACAGGTTTGGTTTAGAGAAGGGAAGGGAAGGGAAGAAGGGAGTGTGTAAATATTAAATTCTGTCGACAGACAAAGAAGCTACCCAGACGCGTACCCCACTGTCTGGGCTGGAAACAAAAGAAAAGAGGGTAACACTGGTGGGACCGGAAACCGGATGATAAGTACGGGAATTTTGCTCAAAACCGACCTGAGTATGACTCGATAATATGAACGACTTGCATTTTAGTGGTCCAACGATATTGGGACGTTAAAACATCATTAGAGAATCGGTAGATTATAAACAATGATATAATATAATAAGTAAGGGTTTGCAAGTTTGGTAACTTGAATTACTAAACAATTTCATGTTAGCCACTAAAATTAATTTATTTCATTCTTGGTTACTAAGATTAGTTCATCAGTTCAAGTTGAGTCACTCTCCGTTAGTCTCCATTAATTTTTGCTGATTTGGCAGTCAACCTTTAAAGTTTACCGTTAAATGAGTGATGTGGCAAATAAAAAAATAAAATAAAATGTTAACAATTTCCACCTCGTCATTTTACAAAAATTTGAAGAAAAAAACAAGAAAAAGGTCAACCCTGCAATCTGCGGCCGGAAGAACTCCAACCACGGGTTCGTCCCGTCGGCGTCACTGAAGATCTAGGGAAACTTACTCATCATAAACCAGTAATTTCCCAGAAACCCGGGAACCTCCTCGCCTCCTAGATAGTCGGAATCGACGATTGGCGCCGTTGCTGGGGACTGACATACCTTGTTTTTATTGATTATTGTGACTGAACTATTTTGATCTGGGTGTTAGTGTGCAGGTGAATTTTTCAGGTTTATCCTCCTCGTGCATGCCTAGGAGGACGACCGAAAAGTTATTGCCAATAGATCCAGAGATAGAGAAGACATGCCGACAGAACAGGAAACAGGCCAAGTTAGGGAAGCAACCAACCACAACCACAACTCCTAGGCCTTCCCTAACCAAGAATCGTCAACAGAGAGGGCATGCTTCATCACATGTCGTCCCTACACCACCACCACCACCATCACCACCTCGTGACATCGAGTCTGTCATCGTGGTTGACGAGGATCGTTCGATCAAGGCTCGTTTGAATTGACGGACTGGAGCCTGAGCTTCATGTGTTGTCATTCCGGCTGGGGATGCAACCATGAAGATTACCCCAACATTTATCAACATGATCACCAACGAGTATATACTTTCTCCGGGGCTAGCAATGAGGATCCTCAAGAACATCTTCGCCGGTTCGCGAGCATATGTGATAGGATGAAGAGCCCAATTGTGTTTGATAATGCAATCCGTCTTCGGATGTTCTCATTTTCTCTGTTAGGGAATGCATCACACTGGTTCCAGAATTTAACATCCTGTTCCATCACGACCTCGGCTCAACTTGAGAGGCCTTTTTGGATAAGTACTTCCCACCTGCCTTGGCAATGAAGAGGCAAGAAGAGATTGTTACTTTTAAGCAGGCAATGATGAGAGTCTGACTGAGGCATGGGAGCGCTACAAGGGGCTTTTGATAAGATGCCCAAACGATGGTCTGGAAGAGTGGAATGTGATCATAATTTTCTTTTATGGAATTAGAAGGGAGTTCCGAGATGTCCTAAATAATGCTTCTCGAAATGGTTTCTCAAGGATGGAGGCACCAGCAGCATATGAACTGGTAGAGAAGATATGTTCAGAAGCCACTGAATGGGGTAGTGAGACCAATATTCGAAGAAGAGGAGGCTTTCATGAAGTTGACATAGTTACAAGTCTTGAAGCCAAGTTGGATACTAAGCTGGATTCTAAGTTCGATGCACTCGAACGAAGGCTAGCCAATATAGCTCTTGGTAGACAAGAGGATATTGATTTTTGTGAATTGTGTGAAGGTGCTCATCATAGGGATAGGTCCACTGATGCTGCTCAGTTGGAAGATGTCTATTATATCAACAATCCGCGAAGTCAAGGCCAGGGTAGTATGTATTCAAATACATATAACCCTCAATGGAGGCATCACCCAAAATTTTCATGGTCGAACAACAACCCAGCTAGTACTCAAAGCATCCCACCTCCAGCAGCAGCAGCCTCAACTTGAGAAGAAGCCACAACTGGAGGAGTTGATTTTGGCTCATATGCAGAAAACATACAATAATCTGATGAGTCTAGATCAATTTGTCACTCAACAGCTAGCCATCAACAATAATATGCAATCATCTATGCTAGCTATGGAGAGGCAAATAGGTCAGATGGCTCAAACTTTGGTAGATATTTAAGGTAGGATTCCTGGGACTTTACCAGCAAATACTGAGAGGAGGACGCCATGGTTGTAGCTGTCACATTGAGGAGTGGAAAGGCCATGGAGGATCTAGAGAGTTCGAGGAAGTCAATGAAATCGGAAAAAGAAGGAGCTGCAGAGGTAGAGGATGAAGAAAGTGCAAAAGTTGAAAAATCCGACTTGCACAAGCAAACCACATGCAGTCTGCCTGTGCATGAGCATTTTGCCCGTACACCTCCAAAAGTGAAAAAACTCAAGAATGAAGAGGTAAGGCCTTATGAACCTCCTGAACCATTCCCTCAAAGGTTAATGAAGCCCATGGAAGACCCAAATTTCAAGAAATTTATGAATCTCTTCAAGCAACTTCAGATTAACTTACCGCTGGCGGAGGCACTTGAACATATGTCTACATATGCTGAATTCTTGAAGGAGTTGCTGACTAAGAAGCGCATATGGGATGATCTAGAGAAGGTAACCCTTACATCTGAATATAGTGCTGTGATTCATAATAAATTACCAGAAAAGAGGGATGATCCGGGAAGCTTCACCATTCCATGTGTCACTGGAGGTGGAGAGTTTGATAAATCACTTTGTGATCTTGGAGCAGGAATTAAATTAATGTCATACTCAGTCTACAAGAAATTGGGATTGGGATATGTTCTTAAGCCTACTCGGATCACTCTCCAATTGGGGATTAGGGATTTAGAAGAGGAAATTGGGGATCGAGGAGAAGAACGGCTGACGGCCTAGGGGTAGGTGACGAATTTGAGAGAGATTAGGGTTTGAGATACTTTTCTGAATAGTTGTTCTTGCTTGATTCATAATGAAACCAATATTACATATTTATAGGGAATACTAAGAAACCCTAATAATAAACCTAATTCTATTAAAGACTACTAACCATATTTAATAAAACCTAATGATAATATAGAAACTCGTTTTCCGTAGAAAACGTGTTTCTAACAATCGATTAGTGAAAATTCCAAAGGGAGTGGTGGAGAATGTATTGGTGAAGGTGGGGAAGTTTATTCTCCCAACAGATTTTGTAATTCTGGAGATGGAAGATGATCGGGGAGTACCTCTCATTCTTGGTAGACCTTTTGTAGCCACTGGCGATGCACTCATTGATGTTCGGAGAGGCAAGTTGACATTCCTCAATGTCTTTCAAGTTGATTATAATCACGATGAATTTGATGACTTTGAAAGTGGAGCTCAAGAAAGGAAAAATTCCTTCTCCTGTGATAGTGGACAACCTGAAGAACTATCACATGTCCTATCTGCTCAGATTCTAAAATCAAAGCAAGGACAGAAATCCTTGCCAGGTCATCTCAAGTATAAATATTTGGGTAAGGATTTCAATCTTCCTGTTATTATTCCTTCTTCACTAACATTGAAATAGGAAGAGTACTTTCTTGAGGCGCTGCAATACCACCTACGCCTCACTAAAGGGTCCAACATGCAAGCTAAGAAGGTCATACCCAATTTTCGCACACCTGACCTTGCTGAGGTGACTCATTTGTTGGATGGAGATATGCATTCTATCATTGCTCGGGAGGGTATTCTGGATACCTTTCCATACTCATTGGCTGAAAGCTCCATGAACGTCAGGCTGAGAACGTTAAACAAGCGCTTCATGGGAGGCAACCCAAGGTGAGTTTTCTTTTTTATATTTTTCTTTTTTGTTGTGTCAAACTCGTGCATGTTTAGATTAGGAGTTGAACATTAGGGACAATGTTCCATCCTGAGTGTGGGGGGTGAGTCATAGTGTTTGTTTGCTCCTTTGTCATGTGGTCAGTAAAAAAAAACTAGAAAAACTGTCATTAGGCTGTGCACAGGCAAACTGCATGCATTCTATTTCTACCTGTGCTAGTGCAGTCTGCCTGTGCTAACCTAATGGCTAAAAATTAGAAAAATTAAAAACAAAACCTTATACTCTTGTGGTAACATGATGTAAATAACCGTGACGCGTTTAAAATGAGTTTGTGCATGAACGAAATCATCAAAATCACCCCACTAGTGTTGAATTGAAAAGTTCTTCACAATGAGCTTGATGTTTTGACTGACTTGATATGCTTTGAATAAGCAAACTCTTTTAGCAACATTCTCCTTTGTGAGGACAGTGTAATGACTTTTGGTGAAGTAGTTAGGTGGAGAACATTGACCATTCGACATGTTTGGATACAGTGCTTACTTACAACTGTTGTGAGCTTTTGACTTTGTAATGAGTCTCTATTTTAAAAGGTTTTATAATGGGGTGAATTGTATCTTTATAAAAGAAAAAATCCTACCTGACAAGTAAAATATCATAAAGTTGCCATAACAATTAAAGTGTGGGTAAGGTACCAATATCGTGTGAGGCAATCACTCATTGCACATGGGGATTAGGAAAGATTCAATTGTGCATCAGTTCGCGTTCATACGATGTTGCTTATCAAATACAATCCCATGCCGAGTGAAGTGCCATTTGAGGATGTGCAGTGACCATCCACACGGATCGAGGAAAAGGATTTGAAAGAAGCCCTTATGCGAGTGCTAAGAAACAATAATTGCTCTTGCTCGGTCACCGGTAGTAAGAAACAAATCCCACTTGTACTAAATATGACTACTCGGCAAGCAAAATCAGAAAGAGAGAAAGACTCTCCTTGTAAAAAAAAAAGTAGTGATGGGCTTAAAGTTAAAATAAAGTTTGCTAAAAGCTTCACCCATTAGT